CAAATTTATAAATTAGCTAACACAATTATAGAGAATGTCTGTTAAAACCAATAGTAAGTATGTAGCGAAATATTCATCAACCACAGTCGAATGAATTAAAGCTGCTTTAAAAAATATGTAGCTGAAACTATATAATAAGTCAATTTGTGTAATAATTAAATAATGCAAAGAAGATATATAACAAAAAATAAACGTTAGTCAATTTACTTATATTTACAAAATACTACTAACAATTATTGTTCCAGGCTGAATTTGAAATTGGAATAATTTGATTTTCATATATTTTATTTGATTTATTTCTGTATAAAAACATTATTATAAACAATTGTTTTTGAAGTACACAGATATTTTGTAAACTGTTCTTTTATTTAAACAAAAATTTTAATTATTCAAATCATTAATTATTATAAATAAATTAATAACTTTATATACAAAAGGTATTAATTGTACATTTAATCATTTATTGGAGATCTTGATTAAAGGTCGAATTAAAGAAAATTTTAATAAAAAAATATTATATTTTATATTTAGTCGTAAATCAGCTTATTCATAAATATTATTTTTCAAGATTCAAATATAAAATATTATTTTTCAAAATTTTTACGAATTAATTAAATTTTGATTTTTAAATATTTAGTATAAAAATGGGTCTATAAAATCTAAAACATCAAAATTGTAAATATTCATATTGATAAAAATATTAGTTAATTTTAAAAATAAAATTTTTTTAATTCCTGAAATGTATAAAATATGAACGTATAAAAATATATTTACAATTAAAATAATTACTTAAATTAGCCAATTTAAATATTTAATATTAAAGTCTGTTTTGGAAATTTTAAGAACATTCAATTTTTATTAAGTAATATATTTATATAAACTTATGCAAACTAAATAAATTTAAACATGCTTCATATCAATTGATTCAATTTTATTTTTATTTGATAAAAAATATTGTATTAATTAATTTTTTTTAATTTTGATTTCAATTCATTAATAATAAAAAAATTAATAATTTTAAGAATTAAAAGATAAATTCATTTTTTGAATACTTTAAGTAATAAAATATGAAAGGATAATGAAAGCAAATACTTTGTATCAATGAGTATATAATTAGTTTTGAATTTTTTAAAACTTTATTTCTACTTTCTTATTTTATTCCTTTTTACTTACATTTAAATCATTGGAAATTTTTGTCTCATATTTAAATTTCTTATGCTATATTCAATATTTAATAAAGTATTCAATCAGTACTACTGGTATATGTGAATAATTAATATCTAAAATGTACACAATCTAATTACGAAATGGCTTTGATAAGTTAATAACTTTTCAAAAAAATTCTAAATCCGTATTTTTCTGTTCATTAAAAATATCATCTCTATGTATATATAAAGTATTTTATGAAATTTATTATAAAATTTTTGCTAATGGTTATTAATATTGTAATATTTAGTTCTTTTCTTCCATAGCATTGTATAGTTTTTGTATTATTTATAATTGAATATTTTAACATAAGTATATCAATATTATTAATAGAAAAACTAAGAATTTAAAAATGTAACTTTTTATAATAAAATTTTTGAATTATCAAAATAGTTCCATATATTCTATTATATTTGTACTAAGTATTAAGTTAAATATGGAAATTACGTGTATATGCATGGCCGAGGGAGGGACGAGAGGGGGAGATAGAGAAAGAGAGCGAGAGAGATAAAGAGAAAGAGAGAGAGAGAGAGTGTAATACCTTATTAAGATTTCATAAATATGAAAAGGGTACGACAGTTCGATCGTACAATTAACATTCTTAGTTAACCTTATTACTTACTGAAAAAGCACAAAAGAAATGAAACTAGAATGCAGAAAGTTATATATGAGCCAATCTAATCTCGTTTGAGAGGGGTAAAGCCAGCGCACTCATGAAATCATGTGTAACATGACAAATTCTTAATCCTTCTAAAGACTTGATCCCGATTTTACTGCATATTTGTACAGAAAATGTTTTCTTAGATTAACATATATTGAATTTGAAATTTCTTAATAAACAGAAAATACTAAAGCATGGAAAAACTTTACGTATAAAAAATATGTTCTTTAAGACATAAAAGTTTTAAAATATTCTTTGAACTATATAATAAAAAGCATTGTAATAAAAACTATCATTTATTTCATTAAGATGAAAAATAACATATTTTAAGTTTATTTGTCATTTATCATTTATTTATTTATTTTATTAAAAGTTTTCCCAAAACAATATTTCGAGTTCAATACGTAAATCATTATAAAATAGTTCCATAATTCAATATTTAAATTGATTTATAAACACATAAAGTATTACACGTAAACTCGTGTTTAATTCTATTTAAATTTACACAACATTTATATTCTGACTTACATAAAAAATAAATTTGAAGCTACTTACTCAAATACTTTATTAATTTTTTACATATAATTTAATATCTGTCGCTTATTTAAAAAAACGCTAGTCTTTAAAGAGAAATATCATATATTAAAAACAATAATGTAATTCAAACTATTAAACAAACTATAGAATTATTTTAATATAAGAAATAAATCATATATAAATTCGTATCTTTCAGTACTTTAGGAATACAATTTATTGATATTTTATTTAGAATGTCTATAAAATGAAAATAAATAATTTACTCAATGCCTTATATTTTCTATAATTTACTAAAATAGGGAAATATAAATTTAATTTTATAAAACGAAAGGAAAAGTTTGAAAAATTAATTTATTATTCATATTTACAATACATACTTTATTGACCGCAGTAAAATACTTCGAACATATTAAAGAATAAGCAATATTAATAATTTTTGAAAAAAATTAGAAACATGTATACAAAAAAAGTAAAAAATAAAAATGAGATATAAGGAGAAAAGAGTTGTGTGTATACACGAGTTTTTGTAAATAAAGTGGCATTGAATTTCAAGCAATACACATGCGCGCACACACGCGCACGCTATTATAGAATGCGAATGTTATTAAGGCAGGGTCTTTTCTAGAAGTCGATGTATCATTTGCTCTTAGGTCGTTAGGCAGTTTCAATTAGTTTTCTCTAGCCCTCACAAGTCGACTGTTACACTTAACCCTCCATTTCCTAAGCCCTTATACCGGAGACTAATCGTAATGCTCTCTTTTTTCTAGTAATTACTGCAAAGCTCGTTGACGTGATACGCCACAAGTCTTCTTTTCCTTTAGGATTTTTGTTTATGAATTCAATGTTGGAAAACAGGTACTTTATCAGTTACCATTCGCACACTGACACACAAAGTATCCTAATTATACCATCAAAAAATTTAACAATTATTTCAACTTCTGACATTAAGAATTAGTTTTATATTAATTTGAATAAACATACAATTTATATTATCACTACAAAAAAAAACTAAAATATTAATTATTGAAAAATATATATATATACGCGTGCATATATATATGCATTGAAATATATATATATATATATATATACCTCTCAATTTCAAATGAAGCCTTAGTTTAAAAACAAAAAACGCTTAATAAACAAAATAAAAAAATATATATATAAGCAATTATTACATAAAAATTAGAAATTTAATAAAATAACTTTGCATATTCTAGATATATTATGTTATAATAATTAAAAATATTTAAAAAATGTAATATAATTTTTTCGTTTAATGTATTTTTCTTTTTAAACTTATTACAATATTTTATTCAATAAACAATAACTAAACCTTAATAAATAGCTTTAGTTGATGATTGAGAAATACTATAGAAAATATATAGATTTGAATATTTTTTCGTCATATATGGGTAATAATTTAAAAAAAAATTTCAACAGAAATAAATATCTTTTATCTTGATCAATTAAAGATAGATAATTCTACTTATATCAGAGCTAAATTCAACAAAAAATATGTTGATAACTATAAAAGGTATTTGTATGCAAAACTATAAGGTTTAGTGGTACATCATTATATAGTATTATTTAATTATCAATGAAATTTAGTGACACTGAAATTAAAAATTGAGAAAAAAATGATATATTATCAATATAAATATGAAATTAAAAATTTTTTAAATAAAATGAAAATTTTAAATATAAATTGATTAATAAAACATAATTTATACTATATTAAAAAGAATAAAAACATTAAATATGACTCACATAGTGAAATTAATAAAATCAAATAAAAAATCAATTATTAACTATTTTTTAAAATAAAATAATGTCATTTAATTACATGGTAAATTTTTTAATAATTTACTCTAAATTTTTAAAAAATAATACTGCTTATTTGTCTACAAATCCTTGTATTTTTCTCAATTCAATAATAAATTTTAAATCAGAAAATTTATATATTTTATTTCTAAATTAGTACTAAAATATTCGATAAAATTATTTGAAATTATAAATAATGCAAGTGACTTAACGCTCTGTAATTTATGTAACAAAAATTTTGCAGAAAAAATTTGATTATATTTAATCTTAATAATACATTATATAAAAATATAAAATTAAAATAAAATTTATAATGAATACTAAATAAAAATATAATTACTTTTTTTGTAAATAATTATGGTTTAATTTAAATATTAAATAAATTAAATTACAGATAATTGATTATTCTACTAAACCACTCTGAATATTATTTATAAATTTTCGAGTTTTTCTCCTAGATAAATTATATACATAACGATTACACAAAATATCATTATTAAAATATATATTTAAACACTTAGTTAAATTTTATTATAAAAAAGATGTTTTTGATATTCTTTCTTTTTCTATATAATAGTATATAAAAGAATAAGTAAATAAAAATATTTTTAAAGTGTACAAAAGATCTATACAAAATATTTTGAATGTAAATTATAATTAATTTGATAAATAAAACTTTGACTTATATTTGGTATAGTATCTTTTTAAATAGTTAAACAAAATGAAATATTCTGAATTTTAATTTATTAAAAATAATAAATCTTTTTCTTACCTAATGAATAAACGCCAGGTGTCAAGAAATCCTTTTTCAATTATATAACATGGTTCATTAGAGGTTAATGATTCTACAATCTTATGTCTACTCTTTTCATAGTATAAATCGCTTAGTTGATCTTTTTGAAGTTTTGCATTTACTTTATCAAATTCCTTTGTCTTTTTTGCCAATTCCAAGTTTTCCTATAATAAAATTTATCTTATCGAAATTACCTTATCAACAAAAAATTTATTTACACATCAAATATAAAATTAGATATATACTCAATTCATAATTGTTACATTTGTATATTTTTAATTGATACATCATCCCATTCTTATTGTTTTGTATAATACTCAATTACTTATTTTATTATTTAATGAATAACTTGTTTTACAGTATTTTTTTATACAATTCGGAAATAATTCATTTTACAATTAAAAATTGTTTTAATATAAAATTACAATTTATGCAAATTTAATTAAAAAAATAATGTACATTTATTGCATTTTTGAGACTGTAAATAATTTATTTATAATGTTAAGATATTTAATGAATTCAATATAAACCATTTTTATTCAATAATGCTTATAAAGAAATAGAAATAAAAATACAATACCAAATTACTTTTATTTTACATTATAATTATAATTAAGTTTATCATTAAACTTGTAAATTTAATCGTTAATATAACCAATCACAACTAAAAAAATTTGAATTTTTAAATTAAAATTCGGAATTATATTAGAAACAAAAATAAGTTAATACAAAAGTATCTTAGATCAATCATATACCTGACAAACAGAACAGACTACTGCATTTGAAGGATATTCATTACAATTTGGAAAATATGTTCTGAGTATTAACCAGGCTTCAATAGGAACAATTTTCCTTTTTGAATCTAAAACACGAAGAGAATTATGTTCACATAACAAATCTTCATTAAAGTTCCAGTTTTCTTCTTCATCTGTTTCTTCTGATTGAATATTATCTACATCACGTAAAAAATCTTTCATTGCTAATGTCTTCCAATAACGTAATGATTCTGTTCCAACAATACAACCTTGAATACTAGATCTATGAAAATAATAAAATAAAATATATGATATATTCTTTTAATTAAAATACTGAATTACAGTCATAATTATATTAAATAATAATTTTAAAACTTACGATGGCTTAATATTTTTTAATATATCATTAACTTCTTTATAGTCTTTTTCTAAATGCTCTTTGAAGCGTAATTTTTTACATTGTTTTTTTACACACGTCACACATAAAGATTCTTGTGTTAATTCATTTTCACCACCATATTTATTATATATTAAATTTGCAGCATATAGTGGTATACATTTGGCTTTATTAGCTTTTAAAGGGTCTAATTTATTATGTGGACACATCAAACTAAAACAATCAACTGGTTGTATTATTTTTAGTGAATCACGATCCATTTTTTTTGTTCCTTTCAACCAATTTAATAGCCATTCAGTTGGTACCCATTTATATTCATTATAAATATTTGTAACTGAAATCATTTCATAAAAATCGATAACGAGTTGACGTTTTTCATTTTGTTCTTCTAATTCTTTTTGCTAAAAATAGATTGATAGTCAAACAAATCGTTAAATTATATATAAAGTATACTTTTAAGCTTATTACCTTTCCTTGTTGTTGAGCTAATAAACTTAATTCATGTGCTTCATTATCACGACGTACTAAATATTTCATTTTACAACTTAAGCCCCATTTTTCAAATTCAATCTGTTAAATAATAATTATATTAAAGTATCCATGATTAAAGTTGAATTTAAATAAGTTAAATGAAATTTATCATTATAAATAAAACTAAAGATAAGTTATATAAAATATACAGTAAGATAAAATGATTAAAATAATTCAACCTAATTAATTCTTAATTATTTAGACTAATTTTTCTTTCAAATAAGCCAATTGCTACGCGTAAAATTAAATATTATATACAAACATCTTCATAAGCATCTCTTGCACCACAACTCATTGTCATAAAATTTAGATTTTCATTAGAGTATTTCATATGCTCTATTTTATATTTATCATCCAAGATGATTTCACCATTAGCATTTGCAAATTTATACACTTCAATTGATCCATTATTAGAATTCTCTTTATTAGAACAATTATTCTCAGTTGCTTGGTTATCTATCTCAAATTTCGATTTTTTTTCAAGTACATGTTCTTTTTCAGTATAATTGTCTTTTAATCTTTTTCCTTTTGTAGTAATATTCATAGAATCTCTTATTAATGTTACAGACGGATTTTGTAAATCAATAATATCATTAAGAGCAGAATTATTTAATTTTTTTATAAGTGCTTTTTTTGTATAATCTATATTTCGATTAGATCTTTTGTACACTAACATATAAGCTGTATTGGATGAAAAGAATCCTTTAGGTATGCGGCCTCGTTTACCACCTTTTCCATTTTCTGAAATGGAACGTTAATATATATATATACACACACACACACACATATCATTTTCAAGTAGAATATTAAATTAATATTTTACCTTGAATAGTATCATCTTCTATTCGATTACTTTGCATTTTTTCTACTTTATCATCACTAAATTCAAACCATTCTTTATTAGAATTACAAATATTAGCACTAAAATGACCTGAATGAGCAGATCCTCCTTTATGATTTAATGCTGCCACTAATGTAAACATATGAGTTCGTGGTACACAACTTAAATATTCTGACATATCTAATTCCTCTGGAAATTGTATTGATGTAGATAATTTTTTTTTACGACCAGAAATCCTACATTAAATGAAAATTTTATAAAAATAATCATATTTCTATCTTTATAATTAAATCTAGAATTTAATCTATTATAATATTGCAATATAAATGTATTACCTTTGAAACACAAATCGCAACAACTGAATATTTAAGGTATCTGGTAAAGAATCTAATCGTATAAATCGTGTTGCATCCTGTTTATCATTACATATAGTACAATGATATTGATTTGTACCTGTCAACTGTTCTACTATTAAATATTTATCAATAGCTTCACTTAATGTTGATGCCAATTGTAGATCTAATTCATAAAATGTTGTTGATGTTTTATGTTCTGTTCCACAAGTTTTGCAGCTACATAAAAATTATTATTATAATAAAAACTAAGTTACTTAAAGTTAGTTTAAAAGAAAATTACCAATTAATATAGCTATATTGCCCTTGGGTTAACTTCTGTAACATACTTGTTAATTCAGTATTTTGTTGAAATTTTCCTTCTATATGACATAATAGAAGTTTGGAAAATTCTTGTACATCTTGTTGAGTTGTTAAATCTAAACCTAAAGCAGATGCTAAATTAATTGGATCGAGATATTTATGATTTCCAAATTGCATCATGGCAAAAATATACTGTAATTGTCCAACAGCAGTTCCTGGAGTATAGGGTTGATTTACTTTTTCTGCATGTAACATTTTTTGTTTTTCATCCGGATCATCTTCAATATTCCATTTAAAAATTATTTGTCTAAAAGATTTTAATATTCCATTGAAATATTACTTGTGTAAAAAAAAGGTATACATGTGTTTTATAGCATTTAATAATATACAAATTTAAATATTCACCTCATATCTTCATTGTGAAACCATACTTGTATTAAACTATTAACATAACATGTTGCACCAAGATTCATTAGGCCAACATACTCTGATGGATTTCTTAATTCTTTTAGAGAACTTTCTAATGTTACAACTTTTACAGGTTGTGATTTGATATAAAATTCTTCTCCTAATCCAGTCAAACATCGTGGATTACTTGTACAATTTTTTCTATAATAAAATAGTAATTACACTTTACAAAAAATATTAAAACAAAAATCCATTAACATTACTATAAATGTGAATGACTAACTTGCAATTTTTACACTTCTTAATAACAGATCCTATTCGATAGGCATATTCAAGATGACTTTTAATAATTTCATCTGGAGTGGTATTTAGTATCCAAGCCCAAGCTTGTTTTTCCAAATCTGCTTTTTTATCATAAGGCATTTTAAACTAAAAATAATACGTATAAAAATAAAAGATATATAATTTATAAAATACGTTTTTCAAAGGTAATATGCAAAAATTGAAATCATTTTCATAAAAATATAAAAATAAAAAATACTAGTTTCGTTATTTATATTAATAATACTTTAATAATAATCACATTTTTTTATAAACATTTGACAAACTATAGATTATCGACAATTTGTTGTAAACAAAAATAAATGATTACAGTTAATTTACATCTGTTTAGCTTCGTAAATGATATAAAAATTAACTTTTCCTATAGTAACCATATTAAGAGATAAATAAAATGGAAAAACATAAATCTTATAATGGTTCACTTAAAAAATCTCTTTCAAAAATTACTAACAATCTTAGCAATGTACTGCTAAAACGAATTTCAGTACTTAGAAATCGCTAATATTAAATGTAGTCAAAACGACACCGTATACAGACAATGTTCCTGATAAAATGTTCTGAAAGAGATGAAAGAATTTTCAAGAAAAGCGGGAGCCACAAAATCTGATATATACACAAAGAGCAGTTTATATTACTAATGGAGATAGAGTTATAATCACATTTAAACGTTGGCATTTGCCTACATTTTGTATATTAAACCTAATGTTTATATATATTTTGTTGTTTTTTTACGTTTGATTACTAAAATATATTTAAAATTGTAAACTAAAAAAGAGGACTATATTCCAATGGTTTTTGGGATTCTATACGTTGTATAATCAATTCTACTATTTCTACTATCGTAACATTAATTACATTTAAAAATTTTATACAAGAGCATACTATATAATATAAAATAGATGGAAACGGGCATACAAAACTAGGTATATTAGCAATTAAAAATTTTTAATAAACTTTAAATTTAACAAATACAGGCACAGATGCTTACACGCCATATTAAAATAATAAGACCGCGAATATTTGATATCAAATAGAATTAATAATAGCATAGCTGCGAAAAAAAAATAAAATCAGTAACATTTTAAAACTATAAATAAATAACTATTTATAACAAATTTTCAAGACGCAAGCATGTAGAAATTTTGTTACTGCTTATTTAAGACTTTATGGATACATTCATTAATTTTGTAATATTGACTCTTCATTTAACTTACTCAAATAATAAATTTAACTTAATTTCATTTTTATATCTATATTAGTGTAAGTATTTAATTTATATTTAGAGCTGCTATTATTAAAGTTTGTTAATTATCTTAAAATTAATTTTAAGTTTGAAATTGCGTAAAAATTTTAATTTTTAATTTAAAAAAATCAATATTTATATTTATACAGATACCAAGCACGTAATACCTAAATGTAGACCTATACTTGATTTACTATTTTACTGTACTTTAATTATACTACTTTATTTATTGTTTATTACTTTATTCTACTTCACTATATTTAACATCTATTTTACTTTATTCAATTAAAATAAAAACTTATAAAACTTAATATTGTTCTCAAAATCTATGTTTCTATTCAACTATGTTGTATGTAGATAAAATTTTATATATTGCAGTGGATTATTATTTACTATTAGCATTACTACATTATACTACAAGCTATAATGAACTTGTATTATTATTATATGTATATGATGTAGCAGTCACCTGAAATATATATATTATAATCGTTATAATTCTTCCAACATTTGTTTACCCTATAATGTATAATTTAATGTTCATAATTTATACATCGTGATTCGTGCATAATCTGCGATTTAAATTTATACCGTGTATAAAATATACTGAATTCAGCACTGAGAGTATTCATTGCCTTGTACGTTTAAATTACGGATACAATACACCCTGGATCCTACGTTATTGAAATTAATAAAAAATTTATTGTTTTATTTAATATGATTCTATTACATTTATATTTATTATTAATGCATAATATTTGAAGTATTCGCTACGAAAATTCTCGATGGAATTTAAGCTTTGCTTTCTGAGAAATTGACAGGATTTCCAAGAATTACAAACGCTAAATGTACGCAATCGTATATAAAGAGCAACGGACGACGAAGTAAATTAATCTTGTTGAGTAAGTTAAGTGAAATTAGTACAAATCATAGCAGTTAAAGTTCTACACGTCTGTGTACAGAAATCCGTGTAAGGTATATTAATTTATTTACATTATTTATTATCTATTGCTGGCCATCTCTCGGTGCGTGCTCCGCAACGGGACTATAGTCAGACCGCTTTGAGGGCGACGACGTAGACTAGCATCTCCAGTAAACTAATTGTATTACATTATTATTGCGGCTCAGTACCGACACTATTGGTCAGGCCTGTGTAACTTGATTTTTATCAGATCGAGAAAGCGGGCGCCGATACTGTCTGGTAGCTCCCGCTATAGTACACCACACCGGCACTATGGGTCAGGCATCTGCAACTTCATTATTATCAGACTGCTGAAGAGAGCGCCAATACTGACGGGTAGCTCTCGCTAATACAGTATATTGGGACTATCGGTCAGGCCTCTGCAACTTGATTATGGTCAGACCGCTGAAGAGAGCGCCGATACTCCCACTACAGTACATTAAAGGACGCCGACAGCATACTAAGACCACGCACACCCGAACATTCTCTATTTATGTTCAATACATTTGTAGTCAACTGTTAAATCTCGACGAGCTCAACAATTCTCACAACGATCGGTAACAGCAACAACCTATGTAACAAAACCCTAAATAAAGGACACCAAACCAATTGTGTTTGCACTGAATTGATGCATCCCCCCCCCCACTCCATTAAACCGGCGGTACGATCTAATCCATCCACCTTGCTCTTCGATCATTCTGGTGGCTGAAATTCCAAACAATGTATTATTTCATTATTAGAATAATTAATTAAATTATGTATTATCATTAAATAATGTATTCAATTAATTAATTCTAAAACGTTTATTTAAATAAAAATATGCCGTCTAATAATATAGGTGTAATGAAACCATCGATACAAAAAAATTATAATAGCAATCGAATATAATTTTTTATTCAAGAAAATTTTTTATAAATAATATAATTACTTGGGAATTATATTAAAAAATATTTATTTTAGTTTAAACAGAATGAACAAACTTGATTAACAAATATAATAAACATTATTCTATTAAATTCATAAATACTTTAAAATAAAAACTAAAAATTGTATTAACTTTTATAAAAAATATTAATCTTTCTAAAGATCACGATGTAAAAATTAAAGAAAGTAAATTTTTCCATAATTTATAATTTCATTTTATAATTCGCTCATTTCGTAAGTACCATTGATAATAGAAATTCATCATAGTATTACAAATGCTTAAAGAATTATAGAAAATATTTCATTGTAAATAATATTTAGGTTTGAAATATGGAAGCTACGGTATATCATCTGCGATTTTAACAGAATAGAAGAAAGACTATCAATAACTGAAAAACAATGATAAAATGTCTCGACTTTGACAAGTGGATTAATATTTAACCATTAATTTTATTATTTGCATACACCATATGAGCAAAAACTTATATAACTGAATTATCATATGATAAAAAAGGAAAGTTTAAAAAAATTGAAAACATCTTTTGAAAACTTTTATATCTCTGATTTGCTTATTTGTCTGTATCTATATAATATAATATATTTTATGACAAATTTTACGTAATAATTGATTTGAAATTATAATTATTCCATACCTCACTTTACACGAACTTTACTAAATTGTTTAAAAAATAATTTACTTCTTCGATATAAATATAAAATTAGGAATATAGTGAATTACTATAATGTAACAATCTCAAAATACATTACAAAATGACTACATAATATATAATAAAACTTTAAATGCTCATTGATACTTAGAACCAAATCAATCTATAATTTGCAATTTTATTACTTTATAATGAAATAATAATTTCTTTAATTTTATATATATGTATTTTTAGAGAAATTTGTTGTTTGAGAAATTAGTTTTTTGTAAAATGTATTGAATAAATTACATGTGTATTTCATATAATAAACCGTGTTACATATAAAAACACGTACTTAGCTTGTACTATAGATTTGGCAACGTGACCTGCTTTAAAGTCATGAAACAAAACGATCTACACAAGTAGGTTGAACAGAAATAAATAATATGAATTTAAGAATTTAGTTACGTTCAATGAACTGTAAATTTGGAAAATAAGAAAGAATCAGCAGCAAAGTAATTATTATTAAATGGTTATTTTTCGTCTCATATCGTTCTCAAATCGATAAGCGTAGAATATCTACTACTAAAACAGTCCATTACTTTTTTGTATCTGAAGAAATATCGGTTACATAGCCTTACTCGTAATTATACTAAATTGATAATGAAAGAACCACACGCAGGTATGTCAATTTAATACTTAAATATTACTATAATAATCATTTTTATTTTCTGTATATCTTTATTCATCAATTTTCAGAAAGGAAAGAAAGATAAATAGAAGAGGATTATATACGTGGAATAGGGAATAAGCATGAGATATGCATGTAATTATTTTACACTCTAATAGAAATTAAATAATTTTTTTTAGTATTACGATTACATTGTTTCAGACAATAATTAATTTCTTATATACAATGTATACAAAAAAAATTATATTATTTTTGACTATACTATGTTTGAGTCTTAATTTTATTAATAAAGAATTAATTAATTCTCTGATCAATTATTATAAACTTTTATTCAACTAACTTAATTTTTACATTTTCTATTAAAATTACATAACAAATAAAGTTTTTTTATCAAATAATATTATAATAATTAAATTGATAAATGAATAAATATAATTAATATAAATTATATTTATATGAGAAATTTATCAAAAATGATGTTTTTATGATAAATAAAATCAAAACATTTTTAATTTAAATAAATTCAAGTATTGAGAGTATTGGAAAAATTCAGAATTGTAAATGAAATTATAAAAAAAAATAACCAAAAATTTATGTTTTAAATCTTTTCATTTAGTTTTAATAGTTTTTTTTATTATTAGTTGATACAGATATTTTATTGGAGTTTTTAGAAATAGCTATACACAATATTTTGTATTATAGAAACTTATATCCCAAAGAAGCCTATATAAAGATACAAATTTATGGAATATATGTATATATTTCTCAACATCCTGAATTAAATAATTATATTAAAAATACATTAATATGTGTAAAAGAACTAGTTCAAGAAAACAAAAACCATTTAAATTCAATAAATTTGTTATATGTAAATGAATTGAATATACCAATAGAAAAATTTGTTTTTTATTTTAATCAATTAGAAATCAGTCCATCAAAGTAAGTTGATTATAAAACATATTAATTATAATGAATTTTTAAATTAAAAATCTCTTTTTATTTTAGAACAGATCCATGTTTTAAAAGGCCAGAAGAGGTATTAAAAAATTTATGTTTAAATTTATCAATGTTAGAAATCTGTTTAAAACCACTTCCAATAAATTCTTCATTTTATATTAATATTATTACAAATTGTATAACACATTTAGTTATAGCAGAAAATTCAAAATCTTATAACTTCCCATGGACAATTGACTATGACTTTAAAAAAATGGAAAGTGGTCTATTATTACCAATAAATAATTTTAAAGTAGACTGTTTTGAGTTACAATTAGTTGTTATTGAAAATTAAAATTAAAAAGAATGATATTCCATTCTATGTATAATCGATATTTTTACAATATTTATATATGTATAATATTAATATAAATATTATGTTTATATAAAATATATTATTTATTACTATTATTTATTATAAGCAATTAAATTAACTTTGTATAGATAATTATTATTAATATTAAGGATAAATCATGTTCAGCGATTAAACAGTGATTTGAATCATTTTAAAATTATGACAAACACAGAAGAAACTACTATAGCAACAGTACTGTCCAATAAATCAAATATTAGGTTATTAATTTTATTAAATGTAATAATGGAGCGTATTATTTCCTTATATTATTTTAAAAAGATTAATTTTCCAGTGAACCAGTATTAGATTTTTCGAATATATCAAAAAAACTTACAAATGGATTATTATCTATTTACCAAAAGCCTTTTGAAAACACTAAAAATGAACTTGCAGGTTTAATGTAAGATTTCAAGATGTTATAAATTATAATTTATAAATATTAAAAATAAGTCTGATTTTATCTGCAGATCGAAACAAGTTATATGCATTACTCAAATGCAATCAGAAAATAAAAAATTATGTGACATACAAGAAGATATAGAACTGAATAATTTGGTTTGTTAGCAATTGTAGATATTTATTTTATTTAAGCTTATATTATATTTGTAATTCAAATTATTTATTATAATAATATAGTTTTCAACAATGGAAACCTATAAAAAAAAATTACTAAATATTAAAAAAGAAATCTTAGTAATTCATAAAAAAACATTGAAACTTAAAGTAAGTAATAGTAGCATATATATATTAAATTTTATTAATATTAAGTATGATTTTTTTTAGAAAAAAACCTTTCAATTTCAACAAAAAAAACAGCAAAAATGAAAAATGAAGAGGTCTTCAATTTTTGAAATAAAATACATAATACATTAATAAAATATTTAAATCAGTTTATAATAAAATTTATAGATAATAAAATAATAATAATATAATAGTTACATACAAAATTGTCTATATTGTGAATATTATATTGTTACATTTTACACCTGTTTCTTTAAGTGTAATGTATTTAATAAAATTTAAGTACAATTTAACCCCAGATAATTTCCCATTTATTTCCAATTGAGCATTTTATTTCATTACCACATAACACATTGAATGTTGTATTAGTAGGAAAACCAAGGATTTCTCTATCTTCCTGAATTCGAAATGAAAAGGTTGATTCATGTGTACCTACAAAATATCTATAAAAAATAAATAAAAAAGAAAAATATATAATGAAATATTAGTTTATATTGTATAACTATTACAGTACCTTGCATGTGAACATATTATTTGATCAATAATGGCAATCCCTCCATCTTTAAATTTATTTTTCACAAATTGGGTTGGAATATAACGAAATACAGAATAATCTTTAAGCTTTTCCTTCAGATCAATGTATTCTAAAATAAAACAATATTATTCAACATTATTCTTTATATCAAATTAAAAATACTTTTAACCTTGGTTATTTGTATCAGTTGCTATATAAACAATTTTTAAATCTAATAATTTTAAAAATGCTTTTATTTGAAAAGCTGCATATTCAATAGTTGGTGATGATGCTGCATGACCAATCAAAAAATCTTGTCTTCTCAGATGAATAGATAAATATGGACCACCAATTGCATTTCTCTTTTTCTATTTAAATATTACAATACAACATAATAAAAATTACAAAAATGATTAATCAATTTTTAGCTTATTCTTATTCATATGTTTATTAAAACTAATAAAACATGTACTTTACATAAAAATTCTATATTGAATAAATTTCCAAAAACTACTACGAATAGAATGAAAAATAATAAGTTTAACAAAATTAAATAATGTAAAATTATTTATTACTTTATATGCTTTATATTTTCAATATACCTTATCTAATCTCCAGTCTTTTAGTTTTATTGTTCTGTCATCCATATCATTAGAATTTAAATATTTTAATCTAAAGTCATTACTAATTTGATGTAATTCTGTGTTGTATCGCATACTACGTCTTGCATTCCAATAATCTACAGAACCATAATTATAATGTAATGGAATTTCCATATGATCAAACATAATACTTCTATATTATAAATTGAAAAAATAAATAGTAATTTTTAAGTAATTAAGAAAGATAATGGTGTTAAAAAACTATTACCTATATAATAATGGTTGTAGATTTTTTTTTAAATTAATTGTAGTTCCATGAAAAGTTATACATTTAACTTCTCTTGCAGTTACATTTGTATAACCCCAAAAAGAACCAGTATATTGTTTATAACTATTTTTTTTATAAGGAATTGTGGTGTTCAAACAATCACTAAAAATATTCTTATCTTCAAAATTACCAATTCTAAACATCTCTTCATCATTTTTTAAAAAATATAAAACATCAATTATGGTTTCTTCATTTTCTGATGGAATTTCTAAATATAAATATTAAGTTATAAAAAATATTATGTAGGTATTCATTTTGAAAAATTAAAAATATTAAAAATATATTTATCAAAATCCATTTTTAATTTACCAGTAAGACATTATATATTATAATTTATCTTTAAGTATACCTTTAATAAATTCAAATAATTCTATTACTGGTAAATACTTTTTCAAACTCTCCATATCAAAAAATGTTTGCCATGGTATTTGTTGTTGAGATCCTAGGTCTACACTTTGCCAATGATATAAATTTCCTGTAAATTTAATATTTTATAAATATAAATGTATTTGTAGTTTACTTAAATAGATACAATAGTAACAAAATAATTTATAATTTTAATTCTTTAAAATTACAAGTAATATTTCATTTACCCCATGGAGGCAATACTACATTCCATTGAAATATTTTATCATCTTTTATAAGTTGTTTTAAAAATGTTGCAACTCGAATATAAACATCTCTTCTCAAGTTAAATCCTTCAGGTGGGTTAACATCATAAAGAAAATATCTAAATGCAAAATAAAATTTTATTACTAGTAATACTAAAAAATAAATATAACTAACCGTTTATTTGAAAGATAAGATTGGCGGCTTGTACACTTTTCATTTATCTTTTCTTTTTGACAATATAATATGTCATTGGCGATCGATTTTATAATAAAAAAATATATAATCAAAATATAAGTTACAAATTTAATAAACATATTTATTAGCACTTATAAATATTATATTATATTGTATTAGATATCGATCAAATTACAAGAAATGAATTATGTAATAATATAGATGATGTTCTGCTTGAATTTAAGCAAAACTTTTACGTCGATAAATTTAACATAGCAATTACAAAAATTGATATTGATTTTGTTTATTGAAGACTGAAAATTACTCACAAAGTAATTTAATTTATGTTATAAATTAATAAAAAAATACTTAAAATTTTGTAGACAGTTAGATTATCTAAAAATGTTGAATTTATTATAAATTTAATTTTATAAATGAAACCAATTACAAAAAATTTAGGACGCATGCGTATTACTTTTTATACTAAAGACAATTTATTTAAATTATTTTGCTTTTATCTAAATGCAGTACTTTACTATTTGACTATTCTAATCTATATAATTTATAATAAATATTTATACTATGATTGATTAATTACAAAACATTAATTTTGTGCTATATGTTTAAAAATACTAGAATGTACAGAAATATAAGATCTATTTTTCGATATTTAATCAACTCGTTAGAATTTTATAATTTAATTTGCGGAATAATAAGAAAGTACAGATACAAAAATGATCGATCATAATTAAGAAATTGAACATTTCTGTTACGGATTAAAAACTTGAAAGTTGAAAGTGGGAGAGGTATGAATGCGTGATTCAGTTATTTAAATAAAATACTAGCAACGAGCGTTCTAGGCTATGCCCTGTTGACGTCACGACCAAAATCGTCACGGTAACAAACATCAGCGTTTGAGAAATAGTGCGATAATATTTAAGGGCAGCAGTTCAGTTTGTCTCAGTTTATTAACTATTACACAATAATTATAAAACGCACTATATATTTTCGACCACATCTACAGAAACCACAGTTTAATAATATATAATTAATAATCAATTAAGTAATAATCTACGAAAGAAATAGTGACATTTATTCTAAAATTATTAATAACGTATTAGTGACTATAAAACAATAGTGAAACATAAAATATATTGAAGCAACTCATACACAAGACCGACGTAATAAAGGCACAATATCAACCATACCACTATTGAAAGATATTATAGATAAGACCGACGTATCATAGGCGTGGCACTAAACCATAACACATATGTCAACAATTTAATGTATGTTAAGGTAGCATTTACTAATTATACAACAAATGAGGAAATACATTCATAATACGTAACAATAAAGAAAACTTTATATTTAATCTATTATATCATTTTATATACTTCATAATTAATTATATATTATTATATTTTTTTAATAAAAGAAACAACGATAAACAATTAAAAGTAGTCTTGAATAATTGCACTGTCCCTTCACTTGCCAGCAACACCTCCACTCAACATCTAAAGCAGGTTTTTAGTCTGATCCCAGAAAATTTCAAAATCATAGAATATAAAATAGAACAATGTAATTTGTAATTTTATTTATGTTTTATTCTATTCGACAAAACAATTTTTCCAAAATACACATATTTATAATTTATAATAAAAAAGAAACACCTTTTTCTTAAATTAAACAAAATATTATGTTGAATCTTTTCTTTGTTCGTTTATCTTAAAGAATGGTAATACTTCACCACTATTTCATCAAATAAATTTATACATAAATTTTTAATGCATGTGTTCTTACTGGTAGTTTCGTTTTACAAAATGATTAACTGATCGCAAATTGTTATTTACCTTATTCGGTCCAACGTTTCTTACAATTATTTAAATCATTTAAATTTTACTTAATTCTTAGCAGCATAATAATATACATAATTAGACTTTGTACTTATTTCCCAAGATCCTACTCATTAATTTACTATTTATTCATATAAATAGATAAATATATATATATATATATATATATATATATATATTCTTATATACGTTCTTTCATTAATCATTCTCTCTTATTAATATATATATAACTAAATAACTAAAGTACTATATAACTACAGTACTTAAATTAAAAAATTTGTTTGAAGTGAACATTTTATGTACAAATAAATTAAACTTTACTTCATATTATAAATTTATTGTAGTAATTATTTCAATTTAGGTTGTTTCACAAAATTAATAGTAATAGAATTAAAATGAATAACAAGTACTAGTAGATGTAATATCAAATAAACTACCAAAAAAATTGAACATATTTTGATCGATTTTATTCTACGTGTGCCCAGTATATTTTCACAACGTTTTTATAAAAATAAACGGTATAATTTCATTAGATTTTTTGGGGTAAAGTATAATTTTATATATAATGGAATTAAGTATAAAATTTTATATTTAGTTTTTTTCATATTTAATATAGTATTTCATATATTCTTTTTGAAAAAATAAAATTAATATATTACAATTTTTAAAGATCGTTAAGAATGCCTAAGAAAAGTAATGTTAATATAAAATAGATATTGATAAAAAAGAATATATTAAATATTATTATGATGAAATATTAGATAAATATATAAATTCAAAGGTTAAAATGATTATCTATAGTTTGTTTAAGTTGAATTAAATTCCAAATATCATACTTTCATAAAGCTTTCACAGTTTTTTAAGATTTTTTGAGTCAAATAAATACATCGATATCTTTGTTCTATTATTAAAAATTCTCCCGTTTAATTAATTTTATTCTAAGAATCTTATAATTCCTAAATATTATTCTTAAATATTAATATAATTTCCTACTGTGACGTAACTTTTAGTTTCAAGTTTGTATATATATTTCTTAAGAATATAATTTTTAAGAAATTAAAGTATTTCTTAACAGCAAGAACTTATCGTGGTGAATTTTTATTATAAATTTTTATTAAAATTTATTTTATTGTAACTATTAGTATGGCGAAATTTTAATAAAGAATAATCAATGGTGATGATTTCTGTTGCTTAAATAATTCACGTCATATTCAAAATAAAAAATATAAGATTTAATAATTATTAAAAAATGTTAGTTAAGTACAAAATAAAAATAAAATTAAAAAATAAAAGATTCAATATAATTTTATAAATTACAGTAATATTAACATTTAAAAATAAAAATTTTTATTTTATGTAAACAAACTATTAAGTTGCATTTATAATATGTATTAGTGATGAAACTGACTATTGATTTTTCATATAAATAAAGTATATTTTAAATACTGATTTTACATAATTATCCCACAAATTAATTAACGTTTTTTAACTAAAATTTATTTAAAAGAATAAGTTATTTCCTTTGTTTAATTTATTTATTCATTATTAGTAATAATATTAATTATAATATCAATTAAAGTTATTGATATTTGAAAAAATTTAATTTCTCTTTCATATATATGATTAGTCAAGTTTATTTTAAACTATTTTATCAATAATATATTTTAATTGTTCTTTAATATGTTATTTAGACTTGAATTTATTTATTAATAATAATATTATTATAGAATAGAAACATTACATTTTCTTACTTATAATATGTATTTGTGGAATATGTGAAATAATACAGTATCCTTACAGTCAAAAAGGAATGTGAGATTTTTATAATATTAATATTTATATTAACTGATTTTTATTTTAATATACATTAGAAGTAACTCTTTAATAATAAATTTTCAATTTTTAAAATAAATTAATTATCTTCAGAAGTAAGCTAATATCATGCACATTTTTATTTATTAAAATTTATGATTAAAAGTATTAAAATTATTATTAAAGTATTTTGTTTTAATTTATTGTAATTTTTATCAATAGATAGATGAGATTAAAATGTCAACTTTAACCAAAACAGACATAGTGGAAACAAATATAAATGATGAGTATTACTTAAAATTATCTTCAGATCCTGTAAAATTTGAACCTGTGAATGATATCACAGATGTTTTTTTTGATGATTTTAAACAACAAGTATGTTTATATTATTTATTTTGTATTTATTAGTTACATGGTTTTATTTATCTGTAATAATAATTTAAAATTGTTTCATCAATATTTAATATTTGTATATTTTTTTATTCTTGAAAATAATTTGTAGGTATTTGCTATTAGATCTGGAGGTGTTACAGGCGTAATTGTTAAGGGTCTGGAAGATAATATTAACTTTAGAATGGATGACAAGGGTCCAGTAATTTCTATTAAATTTTCTCCTGATATGAATATTCTTGCAATTCAACGTAGTGTAACATCTGTTGAATTTATAAATTATAGTTCAGTTAATGCATTAGATAGTATTCAATATTCTCAATCATGTAAAGGAAAAAATGCCACTATCCTTGGGTTTGTTTGGACACATGCTAATGAAATTTTATTTGTCACTGATCATGGTGTTGAACATTTTCAAGTAACGTATAATTTTATTTATTTATATAAAAATATAAATTCATAAATTCTAAAATATTTTGTTTTCATCTTTTAAATTGAATAAATGTAACATTCAATTTAAATATATTAAATTTTACAACTCCATATACATTGACTTATTTTTATTAGAATTTATCATATTTATAATGTTTATTATTTAAAAATCATAATATTAAAATCATAATTATCTAATTGACTCAAAAATATTATTAATGCAAAAATTAAACTGTTAAGTACAATTTAATTTTGTTTAAGATTTAAAGAACATTGTTAAACATATTTTAATTTTTAATGAAAATATAGAAAGAAAACACTGGTTTAAAAAATATAAAATAAATGATTAAATTATAATATTAAATTAGAAAATGTATGTTATAAAAGTAATAACAGCATTTATTAAATTGTAATCAAATTAGTATTTTTTAAAATTTTAATTCTCTTTTTAGATTATTCCAGATAAGCGATTTGTTAAATCACTGAAATCTTTAAATATAGCTGTCCATTGGTTTATATTTTGCCCTCAAAGTTTTTTGATGTTACTTTCTTCTGGACATATGGGAAATCAAATGCAAGCATTATATGTTACTCCTGGAAATCTACATAAAATTACAAAGTTTGAAAGTAAATTTTTTAAGTTTGTTTTTCTTATAGTTAAGCATTTTTCTTAATTTTTTTGTGAAATAATTAAAAGGATGTGTTTATAGTAGAGACAATTACAACAAAACCAGGAAAGCTTGCAGTTTCAGAAAGAGATGTAGCACTTGCTGTTTTATATGGAATACCTTGCATAATAGTAGTTCGCCATCAGCCCAGTGATAGTATTCGTTCTGTTGGTTTAACATTCCTTTATATATACACAATTCACAAGTTAGTTTATTATTGTATTTTATAGTAAAATTAAATATTATTAAATAATTTTCTGCATTGGCACATATTATCATAAATATAAGTATCTAGTCTTATTTTCTAATTATAAAATAATTTTAATTATAATTCAATATTAGCTTAAATTATTAAATAATTCAGTTACAATAATTTAACTTCTGTATGGAAAAATTGATTACAAAAACAAAGAATCTTGGATCAATGTTTGGCTTTTTATAATCATTTTTTTGTCATTTAAATTTCTTCATTTTATTTAGTAATTATTAGCATATTAATATATATGATGTGCCACTATTTATTTTAAAATTATTATAATTAATAATTATATTTTACCTCATAACTATACTTAATAATAAAACAAAAATCAATGAGCATTTAAGTATTTTTATTATTTAATAAATCAACTATTTTAGAATGATGACTGTTAAAAAAAGTCATATAATTAAACTTGACATGAATGGTCGATTTGCAATTAATGTTGTAGATAATCTCATAATTGTTCACCATCAAGCTTCGAAAGTAAGTATTAATATCTTAATATAACAATATTTACATTTAAAGAAAGATTATTTATTAAAATAATAGTTGTAAAGTGGTATTATCAATTTATTATTATGAAATAATTATTCAATGAATATTTAAGAAAATACGTATAATTTAAAAACTGATATATAAAATAACTTAATTTCTTAATATAGACATCAATGGTATTTGATGTTATGTTACCTGGTGTAAGTGATGGAACTGTAATTCATCATACTAGTGTTGCTCCACCAAAATCAATTAAACCATATAGTTTAAGAGTTCCTGGTCTCAATATATCAGAATATGTCAATCAATCGTATCAACTATGTATCCTTTTTATAAAGTATTGTATTTAATAAATACTTATTTTGAATTAATTCAACTGTTTTCAAATAAATATACTTCTTAATACAAATTAGACTCACCTAATTGGGTCGTTTTTCAACCAAATATTGTGATTGATGCTAAATTAGGTTGCCTGTGGTACGTTCATAACAATAAAGTGATAAATATATGTATTTGATTGAGCAATAGTAAATTTGAACTTCTAACATTATTTAATATTTATAAACTTATTTTTAATGATTCAAATTGTTAATGGTTTAATAATTGAAAATGAATTTTTGATTTTCTAAATTAAAAAATAACAATTATAACACTACATAAAAGAATTAAATTGAACAAAGGTTTTTAAAAAACTACCAAATAAGTTATTTAATATAATTAAAAGTATACTTTTTTATTGCTATTATTACTGTTTTTATTTTGTAAATTATTTAAAATTAAACTTAGAATAATTTTTAACTTAGGTATATCGAATTGCAGTTGGATAAATTAGCAAAACTCATTACTAATAAAGTTCAATTAGTTCAATTTTTAATGCATCGAAAAAATTCGAAGCAAATTTTAATTCAATTTATAATGGATCTTATAATGCAAATGCCTACAACATTAGTTGATATACCTATAATTTTTGAACGATTAAATTCAGTGTATAGAAATCATTTAGAAAATGAAATCCAGAGTATAATGGGTACCCCATTGCAAAATAATACAAAAATAGTTCACTTTGTATCTAATAGTTTTAAATACAAAATATTTATTGATCAAAGTGATATATATAGTCACATTCTTTCCAAATTTTCTGAGGATAAAATTGATTCAAAAATGATTATCTGGATCCTTCTTGAGTATATCAGGTATGATTATTTATATTAAATATTTAATGTGTTTATTAATATTGGATATAAGTTTAATAAAATTAAAATAATATTTATGAAATTTCATTTTGTGTTTATGCATGAATGAGTAAGAACAAGTGTATTTTTGTATTATTGTATTATAAAAATACATATTGCAGTGTCTATTTAATACTGAAAATAAAATAGTAAAATATGTAGTAATACTGTTGTTAAATATGTATTTTTTATCTGGAAATTATACAGAGACAATGAATCATAAAAATCGCACCTCATGATGTAAATAAGAATTAGTTGTTGAAAAATGCCGAGGATAAAATGTTCTTTCATTTTAAATATCACAGAATTTAATTTCACTCCCATAATTAAAAACACAATAATCTTGTATTTTGTAATAATACGACTCAAGAAAGGACGCGAGTTTGTCTTTTTTTTAAGTCATTTTTTTTAAATACTTTCATTATACAATTTATATTAAAAAATTTTTAAAATCGATCTACAAAGAAACAGTTTACATTAAGATTTTTGTAATACTTATTAAATTATTACTTTTTAAATATTTGAAAAAATATATATGTGTATGAATGTTTATGTTGATATTTCATTAAATGTTAGGTAGCAAAATTGCTGAACAATTGTAATATTAGAAATAATAAAATAATTATACAGTCACTTCGAACTGATATTTTTAACAAAAATTGTAATGAAAATTTTCTTTAACTTTAGTAGAGGTTTATAGATACTTCATATTTATTTTTTAACTTATTTATTAATATTTTTAGATCTTTATCAGAGCACGGGATTCCAGTGCAACATTATATTTATGAGCTTGTAATAACAACATTAGTTCATAAGAAAGCATATTATCAACTACATCAATTGCTTCAATATCATGTTGTTTCCGATTCAAAACCTCTTGCTTGTCTACTTCTTTCATTGGAAAATTTATATCCAGCAGCTCATCAACTAGCTCTTGATATGCTGAAACGTCTGAATATCGCACATGAAGAAATTATTGAAGTTCTCCTATCAAAAGGGCATATTTTACCTGCTTTACGTTATATTCGAAGTATTCACAAAAGTGACGATGTATGCGCGCGGAAGTTTCTTGAAGCTGCAAAAGTGACAAATGATTGTATTTTATTTTATTCTGTTTATAAATTTTTTGAACAACGAAACTTGAAGCTACACAATACGACTGGTTTTGCTAAAAGCGAGAGATGTCAACCTTATGTGCAGCACTTTAAGAAATTATTTAGAACAAACACCTGATGCAAGTTTAATATAAATTCAGAAATACCTTTGATATAAATTAATTATGAACATTTTTATATATACAAATACGTTAAAATTAAGTATATATTTATAATTATTAAATTCTGCAAAACAACATGAACTATGTAAAATACTTTTCCACTATTTATACAAAACTACAAGTATTCATTAAAACTGTTATCTTTCAAATAATGGTATTGCCTATGTTAAAAATTGTTTAAAAATTTAAGTTCATTTCTTATTGTATAAATAGTAAGTTTATTAATGGAATGTTATCAATGCATTCATATTTATGTATATATTTGTATAATAAAGTTTAATTATTGAATAATTTATTTGTTTAAATTATAAATACTATTTAAGTCTGTCTAAAAATAGAGTACCAGGCTAGGAGGGCTAAATATCTACAGTTACGTGTAAACTCCCAGATGGTGGAAGGGAGGATTGCGGGCAAGTGGACAGGATAGTGCATGTATTCAATAATAAATAGATTTGGTATTTGTTTTAGTTTATTGCGATAATTGCATTAGTTGTATTATAATGATTTTTAGTTTATGCTTGAATACCTCGTTTCATGAGTTTTGTATGTGGGTTGCATATACAGGTAGAAGGGCGTAGCCTTCTGGTCCTCTATATGTAATGCGCGTGGTGGTGGTGTTATACACGTAGAACAAGGTCGTAAACCCCCGTGCTGCCTTGTGCAGTGGCACGTGGCAGTAGCTTGAATTTACCTTGGTATTGTCTTATTGCTTACGTTGAAGGCTCTGCAGGTGCGCTTTTGGTGACTAAGATGAAGTGATCTTAGTCTGCAGATATTGCTGCGTACTGTTTACTTGTTCCTTTTTCCTTGTCTTGCACTGCTGCGAGTGTATGATTTGATTTGCACTTATCTTGCACTTGTTATGAGTTGGATATGACTAGGCTTTGCTTCTTGATCGGACTTTACTGTGTATGTCTACATCCTTGTTATTTGGCGTTCCCTTGGAGAAGAAGCTTTGCCGGCTTCTTTCGTGAAAAGCGACTCTCGTGCGCCTTGCAGGTGTCTTTCTTGAAGGCATTCTCGGCCACCACGTGGTCCTTATGAATTTCCTGCTTCTTGGCGTTTTCAATCAGAGCGCCTCTTTTTGGGCGTCTCCAATCGAGTTGATCCTTTATTATTGGCGGCTCCAATCAGAGCGCTTCTTACTTGCATTCCCACCATGAGAGGGGGACTTCTTGGCACGTTCTCGCTTCACTATCCGAGCTATATGTAGCTGGGTTTGACAACAGCGTATGCGTGCAGTGTTGCCTTTAATATCCCTTTTTCGGATGTAAGACGAGGTGGTTTTTGCTTATATTTTTATGACTTGATTATGCCAGAAATATTATGACTTGTCGTTGATAGATGCTTTGTAGCGATGCCGTGTCAAATGTCTCGTAGCATTAGTTTTATGACGACTTTTTGCTGGACACGTGGACCTTTGTTCTTGCCAGATGTATTTATGAATTGTATTTTCTTTTGATATTCGACGTTTTGCTGAATTGTTTAGATTTAATTCATCTGAGGCGCGTTTGAATGTTTATTCCTCGAGTAGTCGAGAGTTCGCTTTTTTTACGGAATTCTTATCTCGAGTTTCCCAGATGTCTAATGAGCTGGGAGTTTCTACATTCTCGAATAAAGTCTTTTAATAATATACATTTAGTATTACAATAAATTTTGTATTACTTAACTTTAATGATACAATTGTTTTTTAAATAATAAAAAATTCTATTTAATTATTATAAATAAACTATAAAAATATATTTATGATGCTGTTTAGATAAATATGTTAATTTAGATAAATATATGTTCTAAGAAATATATTCATAGGTTTATACTTTGGTTTTACTATTTATTATCTTTTCAATATGAATTAATGAATTAATGAAGTTTTTATGAACTACTTTTATTATACTTCATATATATTTGTATATAAAAATTAACGTGTACAATTTTATGATATAATATATAATAAATAATATCAAATTTTTTTATTTACTCTATTAATATTGTTACGGATTGCAGCATTTTTAAGCGGAATAAAAGTGGGAGAGGTATGAGCGCACGAACATTTGTTTTGTAAACAAATGGCTAACGGACTCGAAGAATGCTTCTAACGTAAAAACTCGAATATACGACTATAATTCCGAAAAGTAATAACAAATGAACCCTACAAGGCTATACCCTGTTGACGTCACGACAAATATCGGCATAGCAACAGCCACCAATGCGCTATCGGCGCAGCAAGTCGGTACGAGAATATTTAAGGAGCTGCACTTGACGCTCTCATCCTCTTACTAGTTTAATCAAACAGTCATCAAGATCGGATCGCCATCCTACAAGTTAACACCACTTACACAGAAATCACCTCGAATACACACAGATTGTCTCCAACTAACACGTAAGGTATACACATTCAGTTTACTACCAGCACACAGATCGACCTCACTACACGTAAGTCAAGCTATTACACACGTTCTTACGTGACATCAATGCACTGAGATTGACTCTACACGTAAGCTACAGTATTACACACGTTCTTACGTGCCATCAATACACTGAGATCGACTCCACACGTAAGCTACGCTATTACACACACCTTCTTACGAATCACTAATACACGGCTCTGTGAGTTAAGTAAGCAGCAATACCTAGACCACGGCATCATCATTGCCCTTCATTAGTGACGTCACACATCAACGCCACCATGGCGGCATCAATTCTCCTCAACAGTGACGTCATGCATCAGCGCCCCACTCAGGCCTCTCCAGCTTACCGGTAGCGGCAATCGGCGACGTCAACACTCCCCTTTCAAACCGTTACACTCTTCACGGCATTATTACCCTTCATCAGCGCATCTCCAGTAGGATAATTACGCGCAACATCAAGAATACACTTACAAGATTATTATCACTCATACTACTTGAAGAAACTCACACCTATTCATTGTATCATTCATTCAATCTCACCTCAATAGACCACTGATTATTTATATCATTATATTCAGTAAAAGGAAAACCAACTCATACAAAGGCAGTATTGAATTATTGCATTGTCCATTCCACTTGCCAACAAGCCTCCCTTCATCATCTCAGGGAAGCCTTTAGTCTGATCCTAGACAAATATTTATATAAAAAAGCAGTGTAAGAGTATTTCAGAATATTTACAATTGTGTTTGATGAAGTTTATGTATAGTTTTTTATACATAATTGCCTGTGGGATAATATGTGTTTATTAATAATACGTACACTAACAATTCTTGATTATTATAGATTTAAACACATGATCAATAAAAAAAAATATATTTACGCCATTTTTATTGATTTTATTCACTGTATTAGTGAAATATTCTTGATATTGAGCTAATTGGATATGAATAAATGAAAATTTCAAATAAATTCCGATCAAAATGTTTAGATCAAGTTTGAAATTAAATTATATATTTATGTATATTATATATATATAAATATATATTATCTATGTCACTATTTTTTTACTTAAAATATTTTGTCTTGTATTCTGATATACAGTGTTTTTTATAATTTATTTATTTTTAATTTTTTAAGAGCTGTGGGTTGTTTAAAATATTCAGAGTTTCAACCACTACCAGACCATACCCACCATTTGACTGGTGGCAAATGGGCATGAGTGAGAGGGTAATGCTTCAATTTAGTATCAACACAATTGGTTTTCGTGACATTTATTTTGAGTTTAAATTATAAATATGTAATTGCGATTCACTGTTGGTAGTGAGAATTGTTGAAATCGTACCGCTTCTTATTGATGAAAACGTAGGGCCTCGTCCAGATATGAAAGGGAAATCTAGTCAGTACGACTCTTCTTGATTCACTCAACTAACTGCGCTCCTTCGACGCGTGTACGTGTTTTCAATGTTTGGTTCCCCTTCGATTAAATTCACAGAAAGTCATTCAACATAAATCATGTTGAAAATCATTATTTTAATTCATTACTTTATTCAAGAATATAAGAGATAATTACTTCTAAAATCATACTGCTTATTGTATTAAATAATATATTTATTATATATTTAAAAATTGTTTTTAAAAGACTAGATATTTTCTTCTCTATTATAAATTTCTAAAAAAATTTATATTTGATATATATAAGTATTACACAACCCAGAGTAAATTAAAATTAAAAAACAATTATTATATAATAGTAACATAACATTTGTTATAAATATGAGCTTAAATAATAAAATTTGAATAGTAAGTTTATAAATACAAGTTCTTATTTTAATATTGCTTTAGATATGGAAATTAAATATGTTTTTTATATATATGAATTATTTTACTGTATTTATAATAAATCGTTGATCATTTTTAATTTATATTATTATTAAATAACTTATACAGATCAATTTACCAATTATATTATAAGTCACACTTCTTTTAAATAATAATTTATATTTAATAGAAGTACATTACTAGTATATTTTAAGATTGAAAATAAATGCTAAATATATTAATTAATTGGTAAACATTGAATGAAATTAATCTAATTGAAAATTGTTTATATTTAAATGGTCACACTCATTTATTAAATTAGGAAATTACAAAAAGTGTACTTGAAAGCTTAAGAATATGAGTTGCGGAATGTAGTATTTAATATAAAAACGTATGTGTTACGGATTGCAGCATTTACGCCGTAAACAAAGTGGGAGAGGTAAAGACACCTGCTTAGGTCAAAATATTGCGCGCCAAGTCGTAAACACGATTCTCCGAAGTCGGGAAACTCCAATACTCAATTAGTCAATTTTACATTACAATTCCGACTAACAAGGGCCGACGAACTCTCCAAGGCTAGATTCTAGTGACGTCACCGGCATAACAAGAGCAATCTAGAATTCACTGGAATCGCAAGCCTGTACAATAATATTTAAGGAGACGCGCTTGATGCTCTCGTCCTCTTACTAGTTCAATCAAGCAGTCATCAAGATCGAATCGCCATTCTACAAGTTAACTCCACGTACATAGAATTTATATCCAACACACACAAAGAGTTTCGAAGACACGTAAGCTACGCTATTACACACGTTCTTGCGTGCCATCAATTCAACTGAGATCGACTCCAACACACGTAAGCTACGCTGTTACACACGTTCTTACGGATCACCAACACACGAAACAAGTAAGCAGCATATCAAGATAACCGCATCATTGCCAAAAAGAGTGACGTCACAGTATCTCTTAATACAATATCGTTACGACAAGTAACGAAACCCAACATCAAGTCCTCACCACACCTACCTATAGCACAATTGTCAATATTCGGCTGGGTGGTCATTGGACCAGCTGGTAACTGCACTTGCACTGCCACATCACTGACTATAACCACGGAAGAGCTGGAAGATAGCCTGCAAAACCTACTATTACGATTTTGGATAATAGAAGAAATACCAAGGGAACCAAGCGGTCAACTCAATCCAGATCAACAGCAGCGTGAACAGTATTACACAGCAAACCAAGCACGAGTAAGCACTGGAAGGTACAAGGTCAAACTCCCCCTCTCAGAATCCCCTGAAACACTTGGCGACTCATACTACGTGGCCCATCAATGCCTGGTACGCCTACAAAAACGATTCACAAGGGACCACAATTATCGCACGCTATATGTTCAATTCATGACAGAATACGAGAACATGAATCATATGCGAAGACTACCAGCAAACTACCATTCGAACAAGAGGGCGTACTATCTGCCGCACCATGGCGTACTAAAACCGGACAGTTCTACGACTAAGCTAAGAGTCGTCTTCAACGGATCAAGCCCATCCTCAACTGGATGATCATTGAATGACATAATGCACACCGGCGCAAACCTAAATCCAGATATAGTAGATGTATTAATTTGGATCTGCAAACACAGGTACTTATTCTCGACAGACATCACAAAGATGTACCGACAGATATTGGTCCACCAAGACGACTGGGATCTACAGCGAATCCTGTGGATAGACGAACTGGGCAACGAGGTCATTTATCAATTAACCACTGTCACATATGGGACCAGAGCGGCCACATTTCTACCTGTACGAACACTCCTTCAACTCATACAGGACGAAGGAGACAACTATCCACTTGCTGTAACCCCTATCAAATACGGAAGATACGTGGATGACATCTTTGGCGGTGCAGACAATCCGAATCAACTAGTGGAGACAGCAACACAATTAAGGGACCTTTGCATGGCGGGCGGATTCGCGTTAGCAAAATGGCACTCCACCAACGAAGAAGTAATAACCGCCATCCAGGCACCGCCGAATCCGGAACAGTCTGTCAACCTGACCGAAGATGCCACCAAAATTCTAGGACTACAATGGAGGCCACACGAAGACGTTTTCACATTTTCAAACATCATTGACTCCCCAAGCAACCACCGCTTTAAAGGGCACCATTCTCTCTGACATTGAACAATTGTTTGACCCATTGGGGTTCGCATCGCCCGTAATAATACGAGCCAAATTACTACTCCAAGAACTATGCTCCACTCAGTTGGATGGGATGATCCACTCCCAGCTCAAGTTGTCAATCGATGGCACACCATCAGAAGAGAATTACAAACACTAAACGAATTAACCATACCTCGGTGGTTCAAAACAAGGGAAACATCCAACATAGAACTATATGGATTCGCGGACGCGTCGCAACTAGCAATGGCTGCCGTCATCTACATGGCAATATACAATGAAGACAATGAATCTACTGTAACATTCATATGCTCAAAAACAAGGGTAGCACCACTAAAGAAACTAACAATACCTAAGCTAGAATTAACTGCCGCATTACTACTATCAAAGCTCACCACACGCATCAAAACCTCACTAAATGTAAGGATAAGGGTAACACATCTATAGACAGACTCACGAGTAACCCTGACCTGGATCAAGGCTCACCCATCAAGATGGAAGGAATTTGTGTGCAACAGAGTCACACAAATTCAAGAACTCACAGCAGAAGCACAATGGAGGTATGTGCCCGGAACTTCAAATCCAGCCGACTGTGCATCCAGAGGACTCACCACCCAACAACTCAAAACACACCCTTTATGGTGGACTGGTCTCCCATGGACACTAACTCCAAACTCGTGGCCAACCCAACCCATTGACAAAGAGGACCAATGCGACCAGGAAGCCCGTCCAAGTATCTTATTAATCGTCACTATCAAAACGTCGGAATACGACTGGGACATTGTCTACAAGTACCCAACATTGACTAAGCTACTAAGAATAACTGCAACATGCATCAAATTCATCGCATACCTAAGGGAAAAACGCCCTCCTTCAAACCAACTCACACGTGACGAATTAAATCAGGCCAGAACACAGTGACCCAAAGGGCACACCTGGCCCAAGAATTTCAAACGATGCAAACAACAGGCCTGACCCTATCATACGCATTCCATCGACTCACCGCCTACATAGACGTACACGGAATCATAAGAGTTGGTGGACGACTAACGAATGCGGCAATATCAGAAAACAGAAAACACCCAGCCATCCTCCCGAAACAATCACAACTCACGAACCTCATAATCGAACAAGCACATCTGAGAACACTTCATGGAGGCACTCAAATTACACTGTAATATACCCGACAACATTACTGGATCATAGGAGGAAGATCAGCGGTAAAATCATACATCTTTCGATGCGTTACGTGTGCTAAACATAGAGGAGTCCTCGCTAGCCAACTAATGGGACAATTTCCCGCCTCAAGAGTAACGCCATCGCGACTATTCACATGTATGTAAAACAGTATGTATGTAGACAGTATGTAAAATATTTTTCGAAAATGACGAGGATCAAGCAAATCCAAATAACGTCAAAGAGGCATTAAAAGCAATGGAACTGCAGTGAGAAAGGAGTCTAATATTGAATCTAATGTGTGACACGGCATATCAATGTATTTATCGTGTTTTCATATATGATTTATATCAGTATATGTATGCAAGTAATATATGCATAAGAATAAAGAGAACTATCTAACTGAAATTATCTTTAATTCTAGGTAATTTAGGAGTATTTTAAAAATGCTGTTAAAGCAATGAACAAAATTGCTATGTAGGTGGAAGTTCTTTTACATTTAACTTGTTTTTAAATACTAAATTTTTTAAATATTATATTAATAAATTATATATTAAATGTAGTGTAGTCGATAAATTCAATGTAGTTTATATATTTAAATAATACTTACTTATGAACTTATAAATAAAATGTAACAAATATATAAAAAGATAAAAATTATTAAATATTTAGAAAAATAAAATTACTACAAACATAATTCAAACACTTTTGTTGTAATTATTAACCTAATTATTAATCTAATTATGACTAAGTAAAAATCGAAATGATATACAGAATCTGATGGTTACATAATAAAATATTTGTCATTCAAATGTCCTTAATTTTTTTGTATGACATAATAATTTATAATTTAATTGAAATATATTTTAAATTACATTTGTAAAATTTAATTAAATAACAGATATTTAATTAAAAGAACTGAAGATTTTTAAACATTTAAGTAAAATTATTTTATATATAATATTGATTGCAGATTATAAAACCAAGAGCAACTATTTGTTACTAAGTGTTACGGATTGAAACAGTTGAAAGCGGAATACAAAAGTGGGAGAGGTATGAGCGCGCGAACATTTGTTTTGTAAACACTGGCCAACGAACTCGAAAAATGCTTCTATACCAAAACTCAAATATACGACTATAATTCCGAAAAGTAATAACAAATGAACCCTACAAGGCTATACCCTGTTGACGTCACGACAAATATCGGCATAGCAACAGCCACCAATGCGCTATCGGCGCAGCAAGTCGGTACGAGAATATTGAAGGAGCTGCACTTGCCGCGCTTTCCCTCTTACTAGTCTAATCGTGCACTCTTCAAGCAGGCTCGCCATACGACTACAACGGCTCCAGCTAACTCATGTAACCTACGACCACCACGCTCGTTCCTTACGATTACGACTCCTACGGCTCCTGTTAACTACGTAAGCAGCAACACACCACGGACGTGCACCGCTACCACACCACATCGAATCTCACGAATACCTACGTCGTCATCATGTCGTCACCTACGTCACATCACGAACGTCACTCACCACTACAGGTGTAAGAGCTGTCCTCACGTTCGCTGACGCACCGCGGACATCCTCCCACCACTACAGCACTCACTCTATTCCGGCGGCTAAGGCGGCGCCAACTCGCTGCCCCCTCCAGTGCGAGTCTCCCACTACAGCAACTCATCGAGTCTGCCACTACAGCAACTCATTGTATGAGAAGAAAGGAAATTACTCTTCAACCTACCAAGAATACACTTACACTCTCGTCATTACGTAACCAACATACGAAATCTCCTTATTTATTCACTTACACCTTCATTCATACTCCTTACAAATCATTAACTATTTATTATATTTAATAAAAGGAAAGACAATAAACATTAAAGGCAGTATTGAATAACTGCATTGCCCCTTCCACTTGCCAGCAAGCCTTCACCCACCAGGTTTTTAAGTCACCCAGCACTAAGCTAGTTCCATCTATTTACATGTTATAACTTAGCAATGAAATTTGAAAGATGGAATTTATTTTTTTTTCGAAACTATATTTAATATCTCTTATTATTAAAAAATATATTATAAAAATTATTTTTGACATTTTTACAAAAAAAAATTTAATACATTTTTAATTTATATATATCTTTTTCAGTTAATTAATAATGTCCCAAAACTGTTTTTATATTAACGTATTTTATGTACAATCCAGTACTACTATCATTAAATTATAAGTAATTATACTATAAAATTCTTTATCATAAAATTTAAACTATAAAATTAATATCATAGCTATTCTTTACAATATATTTCTATTATGTAATTTTTATGATAATATCGATAATGTGTCATAATATAATACTTCAATAAATTCATTAAATAATGCCACCAGTAATTCATGAACATATTTATTATAAATATAGATCAATTATCTTCAAATATATTTATTTAAATTACTCATTCCTTGATGAGGTTATTTAATGAAAAGACTTTGAATTAAATACGAAAGTAATTTCAATACAGATTTACAATAGTTTCCATGAGAATAAATTCAATTGCACTGGTAAATTTTACATATTGTATCGTAATAATTTGATTGTGATGCCTTATTAAATGAATCATATATTATTTAAATATATTAGTTTAATAAGATGTTTATTATTATATATTTATCTTAAAGAATAATAACAAATTATTAAATTCAAATAAAATTTATTACTTTTTTTTATGTTCTAATTTTTGCTTTTGTACAATTTTGTATATAATCATTTTATTTTAGCAAATATTTTCGTATTTTTATTTAACAATAGTCAAACATTGATATATGAGTAAAAATATAAAGTTTATAAAAATAATCTTTAGTGCATAATAATTAGATATCTTTCTAAATATAAGAAAATATTTAAAATAATGTTTATCAAGTTTTAAATTAAATTAAATTTATAAATTAGCAAATTAAATAATAAATTAGTTTTTACTTTAAAACTACCATTTTTATTTGATTGATCTTACGAAAAATTGTATAAAAATTAATGATTAATTTTTAACGACTTAGTTAATACTTTTAATATTAACTAATAGTTAAATAATTGAAAATTAAAATTAATAATTTATTGTTTTACCAAAACAATCTTTTCAATGATTTCGAATGTATAGATTAGCCCAAAAATTTGTATCGTTATAGATCGTGAATTTACTAGTTCAGAATTTTGAAAATGATGACCCGATTATTAATATCGTATTGGCTGCCAAGTACCAGTTGTTTCATCACGTCGATAATAATGTGGCCTATTGTCTCGGAATACCGTTACAGCTGGAAATTGGTTATCTTGTATATATTTAAGAGTTGCACGCATCTAAAAACAAACAATATTTGTAATAATTTAAAAATAAAATTAATAATTAGACAAGATATTTATTTGTTAAAGTTTGAATAGATTCGTGTTTTTCTTAATAAATTAACATTATTTTTAAAACTATTTATAATTACTACATCTTGTTATTACTTATTTGAATTTGTAATTACTTAATTGGATAAAGTTTACACATATTATTAAGAATTATTCTTTATAATGTTTTTAAATAAATTATTATAAGTAATTTTATTTATGAAAATTTTTTACCCATTTTTAAATTTAAATATTACAAACTTATATAAAATTAAAAATAGTTAAATAATTTTATACCTGAGAAACAAAATGTGGCAGTTCAACGTCTGGTGATGTTGAAAGATGTTGTAAAATACATTGATCTGACTGTGCGAGCCAAAGATCAACACCTCGTAAAGGATCATAATTAAATGGTCCAATTCTCAAAAGACCAAGTGTGCAATCATAAACATCCAGAACCTTATTAATAAAATTAAATATTAAAAGTTTGTAATTATATAAGATATTATATTTTACATTTTAATATTAATTTTAGTAGCATTATTAATTATATTATATGTAAATAAAAATAATTAGTTATTAACAAAGTACTGAGCTTTTTAAAAAATTTCCTAAACATATTGCATAATGTCATAAAAGGTTATATACATAACAATCTCTTTTGGAAATTATAAAAATCAAAAATTAATATATATTTAAACTCATTAAATATATCACTATATATGTATAAATATTTATTTATACATATAAATATATACGTATACAATATCATTTGTAATTTGGATAAATTTTTATAAATAAGGTTCAATGACCGAAATATAATTAACTAGAAAATACACACATTATAAAACACAATAAATAAAATATAATTATATAATATAATCATACACAATACCTGTTGTCCACCGGTTAAGTGTCTAGCACATCTGAGTGCCTGATCTGGTCCCTTGTCAGGAAAAGTTGCCGGAAAAATCTCACCAGTTTTGACGTTAAGACCTATACCATATATTATGGGCCAGTGAATACTACCTCTTACTGTTGTATTGAGCTCACCTACACAACATAATGTAAGATCTACCTCGATAGGCTGTTTGTGAAACGCCGCTGTAAAATTAAAAGTTTAATAAAATTTTAACGCAATGAACAGGAATGATAAAATATTAAGAATATATTTCTGATAAATTTATCAAATAATTGACTCAAAATTTTGTCAAAAAAATAAGAGATTGAAAATGACAATTTATGTTAAGTATATATATATATTTTTTATTGTAATTTTACTATAAAAATATAATATATACGCACATACATACATATATATATATATATATATATATATATATATATATATATGTATGTTATAATATATAACAAAAAAAAAATAGAAATGTATATAATACTTCAGTTATTATTTTTATTCTTTAGAAAAATATATTTGTTTTTATTAAACTTATTTATCCAATGACATATGGATAATTTTTTCTTAAATTTCATTTCATTGTTTATTATTTATATATTTATATATTTATATATTTTACACATAATCAATATTTTCCTTATAAAAGTTACATATTCATATTATACGATTATATTTGGAACAAAGTGGACAAACGAATAACATTGTTACAATAAATAAAAGGGAATCAAAATATTATGAATTTTAAATAATATCAAATATTCGGTAAAAAATTAATTTATCAACTTTAGAAGCTTACAAAGTATATTATAGAAAAGCTCTTCAGAATAATTTCTTGGATCAGAATAACCACCGACAAGTTGAATCTCAAGACGTCCCTCAGGAAAACCAAGAGCCAATTCTGATACTTTCTGGATCATTTGAACCGCTGCGTCTTCTGTTCCTGCGCCGTCTAGGTGTGCTAACGCAACTGCACCAGAACCTAAAACAAATATTTTTACTTTACAAATATAATTAATAAAGAAAATCATAAATCATTATAAAGAACATTCTTTAAATATAAATAATGAGTTATACAAAACATCAACAGTTTTTATTAAACTTAAATGGAAAATTATACATTTCTTTATATATTTTCACGACTGATATGAAACGTGAAATATTTAATAATATATGATAATGGATTCAAATATCAGTTCTAATGTATTGCTTTTATGTATTTACTAAAAAGTTAGTTGTATAATATTTTGATTTAGATAGAATATGAAATAAAATTCAAGAGATTTATTAAAAATTATATTTTTTAGTAACATTAAGAATAATTTTATTAAGATTTTTGTATAGCATTAAAGAAATTAAGTTCTTATTTGGCTTTAATCCTTTCCTAATATTATTATAATTATATTATAATTATAATTAATATTTGCAAAAATATAACATACAGCTTAAAATAAATTACATATATACGTGTCCTTTACTCTTTACTTTTTATTTGCTATATTATCTGCTTTCACAATGTCTATAATTTTTTTTTGTTCAAATAAAGTAGTTTACAAAATTTATAATGCGTTTTTATACGTATTCTAATAATACAATAGTAAGGAAAATACAATAAGTTTTAAATACTTACCTATTAATGGATTTTTTGTATTTACTGGTTGGTAAAATTACATGTAAAAGCAGTAATATAAGTAATTATTAAATTATAAACAGAAATAATATTCTACTATACTTTATACAGATCAAAATGATATTTTTATCAATAATTGTTCACTGTATTATAATAATATCATTATTCGTACTATAATACCTGTTTAATACATTTATTCATTGAAAATTTTTAAATATAGATAAGATGCCAGGATTAGTTGATTTTATAAGCGTATTATAGTTGCAAAAGTTCGAAATTTATTTAATAACTTCATGAACAATTCAATTACGAATTTACCTTTGCACAATTATTATAAAAACAAATTTTTTTAAACTTTATAAAACCATCGATTATAATTAATAGATATTTAAAAGTATTTTAAGTTTTCATAGTTTTTTTGTCTATGTAGTATAATATACATGCTTTTTTCATTTAGTAAACCAAATTCAACGTAGTTAAAAAAACTAACGATATAAATTGTTTACTTTTACTTGCTGTATTTGGAAATCAATAGAATTATTTTATATTTATAATTACTTTTTAAAATCAAAAGGACAAAACTATAGTGATTTATTTGTTAAATTTTTTTTAGATCATAGACAAATAATATTGATAAATTAAGAATACTCTTTCCTATACATTTTTTTTTAAATATAAGTATAATATTATAATTTGCAGATCACATTTTCATAACCTGTGTAGTTCTATCTAATAATATATTTCATAGACTGAATTTTTATCGTATCAAAATATTCTGAGATTAATACTTTTCGCATTACACATGCAACATAGATATGATAGTAAATAATACTTGTTAATTTAAAGTAAATTTAGTAATACCAAAAGTATCACATTTTACTTCTCGACGCTGTCGAGTGAATTTATTGATTCAAATAAGATATTTTGACCTTACCATGACAACGTTTAGAATAAAATTCCACAAATAATTAATTATACTTATAATTACTATAATAATTATAATTACTATATTTGTAATGTCTAGCTTGGTGCATAATTTATTGATCTCATATTTTAAATAATTGATTTCATTTTGTACAAACGAAAATTAGTTATTCTAATTGTTTTTGTTCTTCATTTGTACAATTTCATATTTATACTTCTTTTTAACTAATCAAGATTTTTACTGTTTATATAAAATATATAAATACACTAAATATTAAAAAAAAAAGAAAAAAATTTGAATTAAAACAGCCCATATATTTGTTTGTGAAAAAATAAATTATTCTCATTATAAAAAAAAATAACTTTAAAGTTCTATTTTAATGCATATGGTAAGTATTATCTATAGAATTAATATTATTTTGTTCACTAAAATGTAATATGACAATAATATTCAATCTCACACATAATATATATCACAAAAAATTTAATTTATCCACATTAGTGTTAATACTATCAATAATTGTGTATAGGTATATTCATTCATATATGATTCAGGTATATACGTATATTCATTAGCAACTTTCTGCTTTGGCCCGACTGAAACATTTCTTCCAATTGAATTTCTTTATTTATCAAAAAATATATTTATTTCTTTACTATAGAAATAATCTTTATAATTCTATAATATAATAAAATAGTTATATAGTTAATAATATAATATAAAGTGTGCTTTACTTTTCAATCAATATTTATATAACATCTAATGATTTATCAAAATTATATATAAATATTATAATAAATTTCGTATATAACTATTAGGCACTGTAAAAAAAATGAAAAGCTGTCTTATATAAAGTAACATAACAATATACATTCATATTTGGTACCTTTAATAAATTGTTATTCTATTTAAATAAAATAATATTCAAATTCATAAAGAAATTACTAAACTATTATTCTCCCTTGAAATCAGTTTAAAATCAAAATTGCATTCATTTTATGATTTCTTAATTTATGTCGTAGTTTTTCAAAATATATTCATTCTATAAATTTTTTCCTTGCATTTTTCAATTTTGAAACATGTTGATTATCATTAGAGTTTTAATATCACAGATTTCAAAAGTTTTTGTAATTTTAAAGTTCTCTTTTTTTAAGTGTATCTTTGTCGCAATGTTTTATAATACTGCAAAACATTCTAACTACTTGAAAAATAGTTTTACTATTCGTTATTCTGTGATATTATTCGTTGATCGTGATCCAATTCATTATTCTGTGATATTATTATATATTGTAATATATATATATATATTCTAGATTTCTCGTCATTTCAGAATTTTGCATATCCATAACTTCTATTAATTTTAATCCTAATTTATTTAAATTTTCTTATTAAACCGAATAACCTTAATTTCATACAGAGTTTTCGAATTCTCTTACTGGACAAATCTCTGCATCATGTTTACACCAATTATTATAGTAATTGATTAATCGTTTCATTGTTCGATCTCATTGTAGGAATTCTTATTGATAGCACATGCAGACTGTATTTTACAAATCTTCTTTGACCTCGACTTTTCGTAATATGTTCTCTTTTTACAATATCAGTTTATAGTATTTATTAATACAGTAACTCAAATTGTATATATGAAATACATAATATAATAACATTTCATAATTTGAGTTCTTTAAGTATTTCGCTCTTGTCTAGGCTATTTGTTAGTATTTATTCAAATTCTTTCCACAAAGGCTTTTATTTTATAAGGTTATTTATTACTATTGTAGATAAGACTACGTCAAGAATATCAACTTCTTTACATTTCTGCTGTTCCTGTAGTGTCTTGTATTAACTAATTGATATCGGTAACTGGTTCGTTGCAATCAGTTTGTATTCATTTTCAGATACTACCATATTTATGCAGATTGTAATATGACTTGATATTAATGTTGTTTTGACACATCAATATTACGCTGCTAATAATGGACTGGCCAACATTTACTTTTTACCCAGTTTTATTTTAAATAATGAATTTCTTATTATCAATACTTACAATCAATATATATATAGTCAATTCTTGACATTATTTGTCTTGGCATGATCAATTTATTTGCTGAACTTTACTTTTGTTTTCTTATACTTTACTTATTGTTTTATTGTTGAAGATCTAATGTTTTTATTATTTTAATTAGTTAAATGAAAATGTTTATTCTTTTCAGCGCTGCCACGTCAATCAACTGTTTTTCTTCTTTACATTGATTCAATTTTTTGCCTTATTTTATCTATCATAAAACAATTTTAAAAAGTTTTCCTTTTGCAATGTTAACAACATATTTATATACATTTAATTTTAGGAACTGTTATTAAAGAAAATTATATTATAAAGCTAATTGTTACTCAATAAAATAAATTATTATAATAAATTTTATTATTCTGACGTACTCCTATTATTATGCTTATTGTTAATCAGCTTCTCAAATGTTATTGTTATAGGATTATAAAATCGATAATTTATAATAGTTAATTGTGATTAGAAAAATTAAAAATTTATAATTGATTATAAAGATCTATATTACCTTATAAAAATCGTTGCAGAAAGTATTAATTACATTATATTTTAAGTTGAGCAGAATGTGTAACATCCTGTTAAATTTCATGACTTGAGTCAATATGATCCAGTTTTGAAAAAAATATCGAAATTAATGAAAATGACAAGCAAATATACTTTCAAATAATTATATATTTCTTAATTCTTTTAAATAAATTTGTATAATGTTTACGAATTCTTAACAACGTAATTAAAAAAGAGAAGATTAATATTCATGAAATTATTATTTTTCAATTATATTTCAGCAATAACATTATTTAGTTTATAATTACTATTATTTATAATTTTGTTTACAATAAATACATTTTTATTCTGTTATAAGGATTCATTTATATTTTTATATTTGTATAATTTTGTCTAAACAATGTTAGAATTTAGTATTAATTGTATTTTTTAATATAATAGTTTTAAATTAATTATTATTTGTTTTCAATAGTAGAAATTTTAAATTTAATTATTTAATTTTTTTATTTTTAAATATGTCTTACTGTTCGGAGTTCCAGTCACTTGGTGGTCAAAAGACCAGGATATTTGGATTAGGCCATATCCACCACGTTACTGGTGTCAGTGTGTGAATAAGTGAGAGGTTAATGCTTCAATTCAGTAATAAACACATTTGTTTTTCGTGATATTTATTGAGTTTGAATTATAAACACACAAGTATGATTCTACGTTGGTAGTGAGAATCAGTGAGACCGTACCGCTCCTTGTTGGTATTTTGGGTGAAATTAGCGTGCACTTCAAGTCGAGGTTATAGTGCACTTGATAAAAGTTACTACACTAAGAAGTGCAAGGGCGTAAATCCTTGACACTCCTTGTATAGAGCCACGTTTGGTACTTTAGGTACGAGTTTTTTTATTTAATACCTCAGCGGGCATTTAGCAGTATTGTGGCACTTGTACAGAAGTAGTGGGCATTGTCTCCTCAATTCGGAGTGCAACACCGATTATAATGACCTCTATAGAAGGTGCAGCCCCTCGTCCGGTGATCAGTATCCGAAGACAACGGTCTTACAGAAGGCGCATCGCTTCGACCGCAGAGTGTGGTGGCATCTAGCAGTATAGCGTGTTTCCTCTTAGTTGACTCATGCAAGAATGCCCTTGTAGCTGGTGTCATTTCGTGTACCTTCAGCCGTTTGCGAGAGCTTTGCAAGCATATAGTGCCTATCGCGACTGGTGCGTTCGCACCATCAGTGCCGTATGAGACTGGCGCGTACGTTTTCAATATTTGGTTCCTCTTTCGATTAAATTCACAGAAATTCATTTTCTTACCTAATTCTGTGATGAGTGCATTGGTGGTGCGCTTCTTATTTAATATTCACTCTTGTAATGCGATCAGCATTCTTGACTACTTGACTATTGCGCACTTATAAATACATTTATACATTTATAAATGGTTATAAATGATTATGACTTCACTGTTGGCTTACTAGCTTATTATTGTAGAGTCTGGCAGAATTATGTGCGTATAATTTGTAAAATTCACTAACTAGTATAAGGCGGAGTTTAGTTGCTGTGTAGAGTATTAACTGATAACTAATTGATTTAGTGATTTATAGTGAACCTACAAGCCTATTGAATACGCGCACGAAACTAAAGGCTTATTCGTTCCGTGGCGTCTATTGCATCGACTATTCCATGGCGGTCCTGCAAAGCCAGGCCGTGATCCGTGCCATGGCGTCTTCACTGAGAGAATTTCAGATAGAAAGCAAGTTTGTCGCGTGCGTCCTTTAAATATGCGCACGGAAAATTATTTAGCTGGCAACAATATATTGGTGTTGCTATGCCGAAAGTTTTGCATGACGTCAGAGTCCAAGCTCTAGAACGTTCGAGAATTGTAGGGAAGCAAGATTTAGACGTTTGGAGAATTCTACCGTGGTGACTATGTGGTAACTAGATAAATAATACAGGACGTTCGCAAGCAAAAGCGTTAAAATGATCGAAAAATTCCGGAGTCAATGTTTACGATTTCGCGAACTATAACGATTACAAATTGCGGAGAATTAATTTTCTTGTAAAGTGCTCCAATCCTGAACACTTATTTTATAATAATAATTACATATACTGATACAATTTACATTTTCTACAAATATCATAGATTCCTAAATAAGATAAAGTTAAATTTACGTATTTTTTTAGATAATTAATTATGTGTTAGAATTATATCGGAAAAAAGAAGGTATATCTTTTACAAATATTTTATGAACCGAAATGCATAAATAAGGTAAATAATAAAAAAAAACAATATATAATGAATAGACAATGATGCATTGGAACCATCAAAATAATTATAAAATATTATAGAATTGAACGTATACACGTACATAACCGAGAAGGAAGTAATATGCAGACTGATTCTTCGTATAGATATACTCCCGCATGGTGTATTATAGATATCTCCTACAAATGGCAGAAATATCGATTGTTGATATATGAGAAAGAGTCATTCTTGCAAAAGACGTTTATATTATCAAATTACAAATATATGTAATTTAATTATTTAAAAAAAACCATTGTGTACTAAATGTATTTTTAAATCAATACGTCAATCCAAGGTATTCTCATGAATAAAAACATTCCACTTACTTTATAATAATTACTTTTTTTATTTGTTCCATAACAAATCTCAGTGGGAATAAACTTAATAATTATAATAAAGTTATATCTAATTTTTTTAATTAAATGTACAAATTAATATATTTGAAATATTTGCTGAAGATAACTTAAAATTACAAAAATTACAGCCGCTTGACAAGATTATAAAGAGACTTTTAGAAGTTTAAAAATTTATTATATAGCGAAAATATATGATCATATAAAATGTAGGAAGACAATAACAAACATTGTATAATTTTTTTTTGACAATTAGAAATATCTACAAAAATTATATTATTATTCAAATATGTAATCACATCTTTCTACAGATATAGTTATTAATATTCTATGAATAATACATAATTATTCTAATATACCATAAATATATATTATAAACCATGTTGACCATAAAAAAGTATAATTTTATAATTAGATAGACACATAAGAGAGTACATAAAAGCAATATATTTACTGTGTTAAATGTAAAAGTTTATCATTAGAAAGATATTTCAATTAAATAATAATATTTCAATTGAATAAATAATAGGTTTAATATATTCATTTTAAGAACTAATTAAAACGATTGTAATAGTTAAAAAGTAGTAATTACAAATATATGAAGTACATAATATAAAATGTAATTGTTTAAAATACAACGGTATATTTATAAAAACTTTCATTATTTTTAATATTTTCAAAAATAAAAATAACATAAATTATTTTAACATAAACTTAATAAATATAACGTTTAATAACTTACCAGAATGCCTTAGCACAACAATTACACATGTCGTTACGTCATCTGATCCAAGAATATTCACATTTTCTATAAAATAAATTATTTAAATTCTTTTACATTTTATTTACATAAATAATTGATTTATTTAAACAACATTTAAACATATTTTTTGTATTTTAAATTTTAATTCATAATTATTTTAATATAAATTTAATCCAGCAATTTACAGAAATCGACATTACATTATATAAAGTTAAATAAAATACTTTATACCATCTTCATTGCTGCGATAAAAATATTTTCATTAAAATATTTATTTGACTGATTATTAATGATTGAATATTAGAAAAATTAAAAATGTTATTTAATAACAATAAAGAAACAAGGTTTAATATTTTTACTTATAAAATATTAGTAAATTTGAATAGTAATTTATAAATTCGATCTTGAACGACGAAAGTAAAAATTACAAAAAAACTTTTTTTAATATAAAAAAATATTTGGTAATTGCAATTATAGAAACGTTAATGATATATACTTTTCTTGTCAAATTTTTTTGTAAAATTAATTACATCATTGTTGAAAGTTGATAATATAAAATATATTTTTAAAGAGTGATTATTTGTTTAAATTTTATTACTAGAGTAATCTTTGACAATTATAAATTACTATCATGTGGCAGAGTAGCAGCCATTTCTCGTTGTTGAATATATAAAAGTCCAGCAGGACCAACAAGCTTTGCTGGTGTCATATGAAGTTGCGTCGCTGTTTCTCGATATATCGGGTGTGCAGCATATAAAGATCGACTATCCGAAGGGGTCTCCTCCTGGAGAACCCCATTTACGACCAGTACCATTCTATAAAATATAAAATAGTAATTATTATTAAATCAAGTTATATTTTAATCATATATATTTGATTGTAAAAGGCTATATATATTGCAATTACAATCTTAACGTTTTAAGACTCTTCATTATTCATAGAATAATATATGTCATAGGAAAATATATAAATAGTGGAATAAAACTTTAATTCGTAGAATATCTAAGCATAATGTTCAATTTTACATTAAAAATAGTAATTAGAATTTTGATATTTAGATTAATATTGATAAAAATATTATTGTATAATTGCTGATATCTATAATGTAGGCTTTTATAAAATATAATAACACTATATATAAAAAAAATTTACCTTTTCTAATTTTAATTTCAAAATTAAATTTATATAATATTTTGAAAAAACTTTAATACTTTTCATTTAAAATATATTTTTTGTGTATTTGTGTATTTTCATAAATTAAGTGCTAGCATACATTAATAATATAGTAGGTGCTTTCAATGCAAAATGAAAATCACCAAAAATTTTCACGAACCAATTATTTAATATTTTAATCCTTTCTGTGATATTTTCAAGAAAAAATTCTATAATACAAAAGATAGTTTATTATTAAAACACTAAATTATGTGACACGATAAATGAAATAAAAAATCTAATGCTTTAATGGTTAATTATATATGCTACTCCAAAATAATTTAAAAAATAAAAATAAATGCATTCTTAAAATACAAATATTATTATTATTCTCTAAATAAGTTTTTTTATTTATCTATTACTATATTTTTATTTTCATTAATTATTTGTTTTATTAAATAATTTTTTAAATACTTAATAAAATATGTGCTTCTCTGAAATGTTTACTTTCTCGTCGAACGAGTATTAATAATTTACATACATTTTGAAGTAAATTGATTGAATATTTTTAATTATTTTATAATATACTATTGAATCAATTAATATATTATTAAAAAATTAATGGTAAACAGAATTTTAAATCTACTGTTAATAATTGATTTAGAGTTGATTAAAATTGATTATTAATTATTAATTTAATGTATTATTAAATTGAAATTCAATTCATGAATTCATCTAAATATGAACACTTAGATTTTATTCGACTAGATGTAAAATTTGTAAATACTACAGGTATCAATAAGACAAAAAAAGTGCCGATAGATGAGACTTATTAAAAAAAATTCTATAAATGTAAGTCTATAAAAGTAATATTGGAAAAATAATCAGATAAATGATATAGCACAAAGCTCAAATTAAATACAAAAACTATCACTAGTCAACCAAGTAAATCAATATCGAACAAAACGTCGAATAACTGAGAATAACGGAAAATTCTTTGAAATATGTATTTTTAGCATTTTTAACAATAAACTTTTCTTACACAATAATTTACAAATACTACTTCAAATTAAATCATTAGATAGAAAGAAAGGAAAATCAATAATTGCTAAATAATAACTACTATAAACTATGTGCACTGAAGGTGAAATAAATAATAATAGATGAAAAGAACATAACAGTTGCAAGCATAAAGCGTGAACCTCTAGTTTTCACGATACTTGTACGAATAAACATAATATTCAAACATTTAACATACGTATATTAATTTAAGTTATTCTAGTACTTCGAATTTTGATATGATAACTAATTCTTAAAAATCGACGTGGGTATTGGTATCTGATTTATAGGATACATTAATCATTTATTTAAACCATTTAAATAAATAAATATTATTTAAATTCATAAACTATTTATTATATTTTCATACGTTTTAAAATATAAATAAAGAGGCATAATGAATAAATGGAAAAGTATTTATCTTCAACAGTTTTTTGTTTTTATTGATTTCAAATAAAATCGTGAAGTTACTTCAAATATTTTGTAATTTTCATATTAAATATAAATACGTTAAATAATACTTTAGGGTATTTTTAAATACATTGAAAATAAATTGTTTCTTTATTCAATTATAGGTTTTACCAGTATAATACTCCCTTTAACATATTTATTTGGACATTTATTTAAATTGGAAGATTTTAGTAAATTTTAATGTGGTAATCATTTTTATTATAGGTAAATAATAATTTTCAAATACTTTTATTCATACAATATTTATGTAATATATCATTATTTTAATATCATTACAATTTTTTATATTGTTATTAATACAATATATAATAGTCTCATGAATAAATTCAAATAATCTTATAATCAAATTTAATAAACATATAATTGTATAACATTTAATAATTTAATAAAAAAAATTATGAAATAGTTATTCAGCCTTGAAAATTCAATATTATAAAAAATTTTTTTTTATTTAATTGAGATACACGTACTAGAAAAATATTTATAAATTATACGTGAATCAAACTAAACTTTGCCAAGCAGAAGGAAATTTAAAATTAAATTATTAATTTCGAATTTAAGTTGAGCCAATAAAAAATATAAATATGTTATGGACACTGTATATAAATCATAAGCTATTGTACAAAATAGAACTAAATTTATTAATTTAAATATAAATAAATAAAAGGTCAAATGTTTTAACATTAAATGAACATATGACTTAAATCATGTATTAAAACACACACACACACACACACACACACACACACACACACACACATATATATATATATATATATATATAATAAATAGAATAATTATAATTCAAATTTATTCATAAATATTCTTTAAGAAAAAATATTCCATTTAGCAAATTTTTTTAGCATACAATACAATAAAGCTAGACTTTTAAAAAATAGTAGAAAAAAGAGTTGTGACAAACTTATCAAACATTGATTTCCTTGTATTTCTGTCATTAGAGAAAAATATTTCTGATATTTTATTTTAAATTTTTATTAATTTTTAGTTTAAAAATTAAGCTTTTATCGACTTGAGATGTTTAGACTAATGAAACTACCGAAGTAGTAATTGTACAGGATATAAAAATTTTATTTAATTAACATATAATAATAAAATCATATTCAACATATATTAGAAAGTACTTTTTTTAATAACACATTAATTTATTCAAGCATATTGTTAATCGTATATTACAAATATAAAGATAAATAATTTTAAGTTAATTGTTTAAACTATTAGTAGTAAAAATTAATTGGAAATATATATAAATTTTTGCTTCATATGAATTAGTTTAAATTTTTAATAAAATCAAATGTATATATGAAATTTTAATTGGAAGCATACAAGTCATATTATTGTACATGTTAAATATTTAACAAATATATGTACAAAAATATCATGTAATTGATTGTAAAAAATACATATAATTTTATAATATTAATAATATATTTAATAAAAAAAAATATCTTTAATAATTATGCTAAAAATGTAATATGCTATTGAACTGTAATAGATTAAAATTATAATAAATAAAAAAAGTATTCATTTATTGGATAAATTATTACAATTATAACATTAGAATTAATCATAATAAATTCTAATGTAAATACTTATAAAGAAATTCAGTACTAGACTATATATCTATATGAAAGAATCTGTTTTCATCTGCTCTTCATTTTCATTTTATTAAAAATTATAAAACTTTTATGACTGAAATTCTAAAATATTTCTGAGAGTGTGAACGTTTTATTTTAAATCATTTAAATTATTATTTAAATTAAAAATTGAAAATGATTAAAAAGCATTTCAATATAGAAATCAATTATATATACTTACTAGCTATATAAAAATTTGAAAATTAAAATTAATTTTTTTATACTATTGCGTTTTATTTTATTATGAATATTATAATTATTGCATTTGAATCTATATTTTGCTAATTTCATTTCGAGTCAAATGATATAAATAGTATTCATATTTATTATTGCATAAAATCATAATATCATAAAAAATTAAACGATTTATAAACAAATATTTTAATAAGATTTAATATATTATAAATTTCTTAATTATAAGCTTATCGTATATATTTTTTTGTTATTTTCAATATTGATCACATACATTTATTTTATTTCAATTTTATTTTTTTTGCAATATTCTTCTTTAATAAAATTCTTCTTCGTTAGTAAAATTAATTTTTATTCTTTTTAGTACTTTATAATTCTTATTAGTTTAGCTTCAATGTCGCTTTCAGTAAAATATTTTAAACACAAATAAATAAAGAATTTATATTATTTATTTTTGTATAATGTTAGTGTTTTATAAAATGAAATCTTTCTATTTTATTATCAATTATAATTTTAATCTCTTGTTAAATTATGTATGAACTATACATTTCATATTTTAATTATATTGGAAATTTATATATTTGTAATATTTTTAATGTTTGTAATTAATATTGTATTTGTAGATAAAATAAGAAAGAGTATATCTGATTTATAGATAATAGTTATCTTTTTTTCAACTATAATCTTAGAGATGAATGTAACTGATATTAACATTACAATAAATGTTTTATTGTTTATTTTTATCTTCTTTCACAATTACTCAAGTTGTGATTTGTTTGTACCACAAATATTCCTTGTATAGCCGACACGCCAAAAAATTATTAAATTACCAAAACAAAAAGTGAAAGAGAAAACTATATATCTATGATACCTCTGATCCCACATTTTTTGTATACGTTTATTATCTGTATTATATTGTATATTATAATTATTATATGTATATATTATAATTTCATTTCATATCAGAAAAATATCCTTAGCTGTTTAAAGTAAATATTTCTTTCTTAGTATTGATCTTTCTTGCAAAGCAATGGTTATAAAAAAAAATATACTCACTTCAGGTAATGTTCTAAAAACGTATTTTTATGTTTTTAAATTTAACAAAAACTTTTATTAAATTCTAGTAAGAATTTGTACTTATTTAATAAATTAATTAAAAAGTAAATAAAGAACAAACTATGAGTTAGTATATATATGAACATAATTATTTGACAATAAATACATACAGTTAAAAATACAATTCAGAAAATAAAAAAAATATTTTCAAATCCTACAAATATTTACAATTTACAATGAATGTTTATATTGTTATAAAATAAATTTAAACAAAGTTGCTTGTATTAATTCTAATTTAATATTCAGTATCATAATTAAAATGTAAAATGTAATAAACACTTTAATATACTCAAAAATAACTAAGTAAAAATTCTATCAAGAAATACATATTTATTAATTTCCATTCAATTGAATATCCTCACATTTTAAACATACAAATATTTATTTTATATAAGATTTGTGAGAATGTTATAATCCAAAAAATCTATAGTAAATTTATCAGATTCAGTATAGTATATTAGAATGAAATTTTTATATTTATTATAAAAATGGGTAAAACTAGCAAATGATAAATATTCATGATGAATCTAAGAATAAACTAAAAGTATAAATTAAATATTAGATAAAACCTTTAATAATTGTAATTTCTAAAAGTATAAAATATAAACAGTCTTAGAAATAATATAACTAAACATATTTAGATAAAAATCTAATTCATAAAAATAAAACATAATATATACAGAAAAATATTAACTATTAATGGCAAAAAATAAATAAAAGTAGTATGTTTGAAACATTGTAAGTTGATAAATATTTACAATGTAAAATTTTATGAAAAAAAATATAATATTAAAAATTCATACTTAAATAAGTACATGATGATTATATTTAAATACTTAATCACAGATTTTAATCAAATTAATAATAATATTTCTAAAAGTTTCAGTTAATATTGTCTAAATTAAAAATCAAAAATAGTACTTATTGAATATTAAAAATACAGACAATTCTGTTATTCGTATACATTTTGAATGTACACATTATACTTGTATTCAGTACAATTACTAAACAAAATGAAAATGACAATATGACTCAATATTAGGCAAATATGAAGTTCATTGCATTTTATTTTACAATTAATATTGTAAATTATGTACATGAATAATTCATACATTAAAAATTTTTTATATTACAATTTTTTAAATTTTTGACATAAATTCTTTTTTTTGTATAAGATAATTTTTTACAATTTTTCAATTTATTTGTATTTATAGGGTTTATATATTTATGAGGTATAGTTATAGGTATATCCAATTAATATTTATTTGATTTTTCTTTAATTTAAAAATTAAATTTGTTAATGATTTAACCGTAAATATCTAACATTACAAAATGTCTATTTAAAGTTCTATTAAAACTTACAAAATTTTCAATTTAATAGTATTTGTATATTAAGTTAATATGTAATTAACTCCTAAAATAAATTCAGATGAATTGTTTCTATTAAATTTTTGAAAGTTGTAAATGAATGCAAAAGAAAGTTTGTAAATAAACGAAAAAATATTAAAAATTATTATTCTGATATTATTCTAAGAACTTATTTATTTGTAGAAAATAGAACTTATTTTAATTAATAAAAATTGAATTTTTAATGGTAAGTGTTAAGATAAAGAACTAAAATAAATACTCATAAATTGTTAAATAATAGAATTTTCTTTGAAATAACAACTCATGTATACAAAATCTGAGATCTATATTGAAGTAGTATAAACAATACTTATTTATAATTAGTAATGTATGTCTCATATACGTATAATAAATTGAATATTTAAAGTCTTCAATGGATTAATAGCATTGAACATAGATGTGAGTTTATTTATTACTTGATCTACATTTTCTTGTATGCTTTCTAAGGTGTGCAAATTTGATTATATTTTTTTAAAATTTTTATTTTAGTTTACCTTTTTGTGAACTCAATATTTTTATTTATATATCATCATTATATATTATATAACATATTATCATTACATTTAAATTAATTATTGTACGATATAAGATAAAGATTGTATTTTACAATTTTATATATTTATTAGCATGAAAGAATCTTTAATAAAATACTGGTAATTTATTGGACATTACTGATAATACAATATAAAAGTTTTATTTTTTACAATTAAGTTAAGTATTATTTTCAATTATTATTTTGCACCTTGTAATATATTGACTGTATAAAAATTGACTTAAATATAAAATTATTACTAGTTAATTACAGTATAAATGATTTGTACTTTATAAAAATGAAAAAATGTTGATAACAAATAATTAATTTTGTTTCCAAACGTAAGAAATTTCAAGTATCTATTTCCAGTCATGGTTATTATATCACAAAATCACTGTGCGACACAAAACATAATAAAACGATTATACTTCAAAATCGCTAAAGCAATCAGTCAATTAATCATTCAATAAATAATAAATTTATAAACTGATCGGTTTTGATATATCAAACTCTACACTTTTTCTCACAAATATTTACCCCGTGTATTATATTTTTGATGTTCTCGCACGTACATGCGACCTTCCGAAAAAAAAGCAATTGGCTAAACTAGACCTGGCTGTCATGGCCTCAGCGGCAACTGTTGTCCATTCAATGACGTTAACCACAGAAACGTGGAAGAGGGGAGAAATTAAGAAAGACCGATCGTGATCTAATTTACGAGGCGTGTGCACACTTTTTAACATATCATATTGGGCTAATTATAGCCTGTGCGTTTAGTATCAATTGAAGAGTGGATTGGTTGCTTAGATACAAATGGTCGATACGCATTATTGACCAATGAGATTTCCATGGGTTATCACCAATGAATACGAATCGAATACACTTTTGGGACGCTACCAACATGATTTTTATCTTTTATATTATATGAATACACAAGTGTCAAGAATAAGACTTTTGTTAGTGCATACTTTACTATCATAAAAGAAATATTTTGGGTAAAAAATTATTTATTATTATCTCGTTGAAACTTGGATTTTGTAAAATTGAATATACCAGTTTAATATATATATATATATATATATACATGCGTGCGTGTGTGTGTGTGTGTGTGTATCGCGTAATATTCTGGAAAACAATTTTTAATAAAATAGTTTAATCATTTTTTTTGTACTATGAAAATTGTTGAATATGATAAAGTAAAGTATATGTATCTATCATTAATTTTTATCATATAATTGGTTTGTTATAGATAAGAACTATTTTTCCTTAAAATGAATACATAAAAACTATTTCAATGAAAAAAAATTTACCATCTGTTGCAGAATTATTTAGATGACAGAATATAATCTTACATACTGATTCATCAAATATAAAAATTTATTAGATAAAACATTAACTACTGGTTTTATTCTGAGTATACAAAAACTTTTGAAGTGTTCCCATTAATTGATTATTATATTTGAAATCAGATTTTTCATCTATTGATCTAAAATATGAGGATATATGCCGTTTTAAAATAATATATATATAAAGAAAAGAGCAAAATAACACGTTCCTTTATGTTCTTACGACAAACGCAAAATTAAGATTGTAAGGCAAATTCGTATACAATTATATACGTTATACTATATTAAAGAGCCCGTTGTTGTTATATACAATTGAAATTTCTCATTTCAAAATCATTGTTTTTTTATGAGACACGATATAAATTGAGATAAATCCAGTAGTTCCAACTAGAGTAAATATATTGAAAATATTTATTTAATAATCCTCAGATATAATTTAGTTGAAAATTCTTATGAAATTTTTATTTAAAATATATGTAAAAATATTAATGAATTTAACAGTGCAATTTTATTTGATCAACCAGTATACCGAACTATAATTTGGAGTAAAAAAATATACGAAAAATTAAGTACTCTAAGTAAGAAAGACATGGTAATACTATACAAATCGAATTACCGTTATCATTAATTTCAGATAAAACAAGATTTATTCAATGCGAATAAGGCTATTATAATCTCAATAATTTATTATTTGTATAAATACATGTTTTAATATTGTATCTTATTATGTTTAAATTCACTATTTGCTTATCTTACTATTATAACTAATGAACAATTATAACTTTTTCGACGAATATTCATTTTAAGTTTTAAATAAAGGATGTTTTATTTAACTTCTTTCTGAAATAAAAGAAATTTTTTAATATGTATAAAAATATAAATTGAAGTTGAAAGTTACTCAACTTTCATCACTGAAAATAATCTTGGCATCCTCCACATACATACTAATCGTATAATAAAAGATTAAAAATTGTTTATCAATTATTACCTTATTAATACACTAAAAGATATAAATATTAAATTGGCTATTTTATTTTACTAATATAAATTTTTTTTTATTATATTTGTTTTTTGTAAAAACAGCACAATCAATAAATATAATAATTATTGGTAAACTAAATAAACATTTGAAATACTACTTGTATTCCATCGTGGAACTTGTATACAATTCTTGTTCATAAATTATCTATCAATTTCCTGTTTGTTTTTCATTGCGATAAAATATCGCGATAAAAATTTGAATTATTAGATAATAAAATCTAGTTTTCATTATATTACTTGTATAATACAAATATATTTTTGTATTTTTACTTCTTTTAAGAAATTTTAATGTATATATATAAAAGAAATGAGTTAGTGAATGAGTGAAAATTATAAAGTAAACACCTAAAAAATGATAGAAGTACGCTTTCAAATACTAGTTCATTTTATGGATTCTTAATAAGAATATTTTTATATAATCATTCACAAAATGCATTAAATATTTCAAATTTTTATATAAACATATATTTATTTATCTATATAAATATATATTTTTTACATTATAAATATGCTTACTTGAAAATTTATAAATTAAACATGAATTTATCAATTTCACGACACACTAAATAATAATTTACTGAAAACGTGATTATGTGATCTTTAATTTTATTTGATTTTATAAAAAGTAAAAATATTAAAAATTTTTAATTTTGTATTATTATTTATCTTCTTTTCAATTTCCTTAATATTTTAGTTTTATGTAATAATTTTTATATTTTTTAAATACAAATAGTTATTTATTCACATTAATAATTACATTTAAAAAAATTATTTTAATGTATTCATTATGTTTTTATTATTTTATTATTTCAGTTGTAGTTAACATAGAATGAAAATAATATACAAATCAGCTAATAATTATTATATAATATTAAGAAATAATGATTATTTTTGATATATCAAACATAAACTTTCAAATTTAATGTCATTTATATATAAAGTTATTAAAAACATATTTGTTAATTATTTACTTTTTTATGGAATGATTTTGAAAAATTGTTATCTATATATAAAAGATGGAAATAAGTTATAGCTTGTTATATTTGAACGATATCAATTTAACTTGAATTACAATATTGAATGGACCAGAAAATGATAATCATCACTTTAAAATATGATGAGAATAAATTTCTAGACTAAAAATAAAAACATTTTAATGTGTAAAATATAAACATTTGTTCATTTTTATGTAGAATTTCTCATGAGATAAGTTTGTTTGTTATGAATAAGTTTCAATTAAATGTGTAATTTTAATAATTAAAATTTAATTGAATAATCAAATATTAATTCTTAGTAGAAATAAATACTTAATCTTGATTTATTTACATAACTTATTACAGAAGCTTTTAAGAAATAAAAATACAACAATAAATATTTAATACGTTTATAAATAAATAAAATTTATTATTTTCATAATAAAATAAATATATATTTGGACATGTCATTAATGTAAAGTTTTAATCTAATAATGTACCAAATTAAAATAAATTTAAATAAAAGGATAAATAATTTTATAATAGAATTTAATATTATTAGTATAAGAAAACTTGAGAAACTTTTAGCGGACACAAAAAAAATTTTACATTAAATTTACGCGAAAATTGTAATGTGAATGATTCATTTTACATATAATTTTACGATTTGAAGTATCAAATAAAAATATTTTTATTACACTATATATAGGTATCACTGTGTGTAAAAAGAAAATTAATGGAAAGCTATGTGAGGTTGAAGTGGCCTTTTTTACTGTCGTAAATGAGTTTATTTTTGCGAAAAAAAGTGTAATTAAACACTTACAACTACTACGCAATCCTGACTTCTCGAAATACACTTATTTGCCTATTGGAACAATATACAGGCATCAGTTATTGGTGAAAGTATAGGTTATGGAATCATAATACCCCAATAAAGAATTCTACTGATATACTATAATTATATAAACAACAAACTCGCCCGCAGTTCTAGAATCGTAAAACACAACCTAATGAGATACCGAGTCACGCGTGGTTATCAATTCCCATAACCTCTAAATACCTGTAACCCTTTTTTTAGTAGTGTATAAATGTTATCATGTAAATTCTCAGCATTTTCCATGCACCCATCCTCACAAAATAGAAAAAGTAATTACATTACAGTAAATTAGTCACAATATGAATGTACAGAATTTACATTAGTAAAATAATATAATGTATATTAATTATAAATGTATATAATTTATGCAGAATATAACATTTCATTTCCATCCATAATTTTTCCATACTCTAATTTTTAGTTTGTACTATTCAATGAATAATTAATTCAATGTAGGAAAAAAATATAAAACCAAATTATATAATTAGCTAAAAATAATATAAATTTTTAATATATTTAAATAATCTTTAACTTAAATAAAAAAATTAAAAGCAGGCTAACACGTTTAAATATATATTTACTTATAAATATCTTCTAGATTCAATTTTGTATAGATCATAACATATTTCAAAATACGATTTAAAAATTTGTTATAGCACACATAATAAGCAACAAATTTCATTTTACAAATATTAATATTTTACCTAACAATCTATTTAAAAAATTAAAAATTCTTATTAATTTATTCTTATAATGTATTATATATATTAAATTATAAAATATGATAAATTAGAAAATACTATGAGTTTTAATAGTATAAATATAAAATTTTTATCTTATATATTATTCTAATAACATATGCTCCTGATCTCAAATACGATTGTAGTCAAGATTTTTTAAATTTCATTATAATTTCTTACTAAACGCTTGATATTTGAAATATAAATTTTCAGAAACACTATGTAAAATAATAGATAGGAGAGATAAACGTACATTACCTACATCCGTTTTCTCTATAAATTAACTTCTTCCGTTTTTAGTTTTCCATTGTATCTTTATCAAACGAACGTACTTGAAAAGGTAAAAAAATGTATATAAAAATATATAATTTTAATTAATGATTTCAAAGTTTATTAATACAATTTATACCATAAATAATGATAAACACCTTTAATTTTATGTTTTTATTAAAATTAAATGTAATATTTCAAATTAGTTATTTTAAGTAATATGAATATAAATGTATAATATAAAATTATTTGAGAATAGTAAACTTTTATTACAGAACAGTATTATAAAACATATTTTCCAATGTTTAATTTATTTAAATAATTATGTCACTGTATTATTTATAAGTTTAAATATGTATGCTTGTATTAAAATAAGTTATGAATATATTAGATAAAAAATGTCTCTTTTTTATCCAGTTTTTATTCTTAAAATTTATTGAATACCAAGATCCAATTGTATGTTTTAAATGTTAGATACAATTTTTAATTTGTATTAATGGCCGTAACATATTTTGTTTATACATTTAATATTCAAAATTTAATAATTAAAAAAACTTT